TTTTTATTACGATAATTCTTGTAGGTCTTACTTTTATGTAGATTATATTTTTTAGGTTTATTACGCTTATAATTGAAATTTTTCTGAGCCATACAACCGTACTGTGGTGGAAAATCTATTTGCCTACATTAATAATAAAATTATTTTTTAATTTGTTTGTATTCCTTACATTGTCTACATTCTGCTTTTAACATATTATAAACATGATTTACTCTATCTCCCATGGTTTTCCTATCTCTTCTGAAATTTTCTAACCATTTTTCCTATATCTTAGTTCCTATACTTTTGGGTAATTTCCGAAGATATCTATCTATTAGGGGTTTTATCTCCTGTTTTGCCTGTGATTGCGAAATACTCAAAAATTTGATTGGTATAATCTCCTATATATCGAAAATCGCAAATATGTAGTAATTCTAAATTACGTGAAGCTTCGTTTTGTTTTATTAGGGTTTCGTCTAATAATCTATCTTCGCCAACTAACACATTTTTTATTAGGCTAGTAAAATCTTGAATTGTAAAATTGTCACGTAAGAGGGCATAATCATTAGGATAAGTCATTTTGTAAGATTGCCACCAATCATGGATTATTCCCCTTAATAAAGTTTCACAATAATTTAGGGCTTGTGTTTTATTATCAAAATTGGTTAGAATAGATTGCCTAATACAATCTTGTACCCAATTTTTGATTACTTTTGCCCAATCTTGGGGATTGTGTCGTGTTATGTCTAATATCATTCCTGCTTGTTGTGCTAGTATATTATCGTAATATCTACGGCTTTGTGTCTATGTGTACATATCTGGGATATTTTTATTTTCTACATAGGTTTATTGTGTTGGATTTAACCTTTGTCCAGTGGTATAGTCGTCATTTATAGTATTAGTGCTACCTGTGGCGTTAGTCTTTCCTTGGTCAGTCGTTTCTTGGTCGACTGACTAAGATGTTGATCCCTCTGGTTCTTTTCCTTCTCTATGTTCTACTACATTCAATTCTTCTTTTAATGTGTATAACTCATATGTTGTATAGAATGATTCAAATCCTACGTTTAAAATATTTCTCTTAATATCATCGTTATTTCCTTATCCTAGGTAAATACTTTCTATAAGTTTGTATTTTGGTTCTGGATACTCATCTTGTAAGTCTTATATTTATAAATTGTCAAAATCATACATTATTTTATCTAAAATTTCATCTTCTAATCTATCATAAAAAACATTTATTTATTTGGGAGATTCTATTTATACTAAGGTAGTTAAGAATTATTCCTCGGTATCATCTTTTAAGTTATCTTGTTTTTTATAATTACTGAACCTTATACTAGCTTCTCCACTATGTTTTACATATATCATATTGTTTTCGAGAATCTTTTGGGTTGTTTTAGTAAGATTTGGCAATTCCCATTATGTTCCTTCATGGGTTATACTGCTTACTTTCCTAACTTCTATCATCTGGATATATTTGTTACTAAAAGGTTTAACAATTCCACTGAATTAAGCTTTGAACTTTAAGTTATATTGATTAACTATTTTTTCCATGAATAAACTATTAATCAATAAGTTTTCATATTGTTCGGTCATATTATATCCATTTGTAGATATAGTTATTTTTATATGTTTACTAAATTCTCTAGTGGTCATAATGAAATTAGGAATACAGCCTGTAATGGTTGCGTTGGCTGCTAGATCTATTTCAGCGCTAGCTATCTGTGCCTATTGATGATTATTCCATCGATCATCATAAATATATGCGAGTGCTCTGGTTCCTGCTTCTGATTTATTTAATCCTACTATTCAAATTATTATCACGCCTAAATGCATAAGTTCTAATTTACCTTTTTCTAGCTCTTGACAAGTTTCTGGTGTTATGAGATCTAAAATTACCTAGTTGTTCACTACATTTATCTATCTTTGACTAAGATGATTGTATATATTACCTTGAAAATTTAATAAATTATTAAAATAACGATTAACTTTATTAGATACTTTCTCCATTCATTTTTCTATATAATTTTGAGCATCGTGTTCATTATCATATAGATCTTCTACCCTCATTATTTCTTTAGCTTTTCTAAGGACAATGGCCATTCTCTATGTGGTTGTAAAAGATTTATACGCTTGGTGCTTTTAATCGAAAAATGATTAGTTGATAATTTTATATCTTTTATTTTATCTGAAAGTTCTGCTATTTCTTTAGATGATTCTCTATGAATACTTTCTTATATTACTTATAATTTTTGTTCAAGTTTGTTAACTTTTTTCAGATAACTGGAGTAATAACTGAATTAAAACGTTGTTTTGTCTAATATATATATTGTTTGATTTTACGTCTATCGTAAAACTTATAAATCCTATATTTTATTTATCTATTTTATAGATCTCAGCTAATGCTTGTAGGTAATCAGGATTACTGGTGCTTATAAATTATTGTAATAACATTTGGATATATTCTTTTAATGACTTTAAATAATCTATAATTATTTTTTGATTTTAAGCTATATCTTTTATATTACTATTTATATCTTTAATGGCGGAAATTATAATTTTATTATCTAAATTTCTGGAACTAGACGTTTGTTCAACTGTCGCTTTAATATAATCTAAGTTTTATGCGAGTCTTTTTATCGAGGTGTCTAGGTTATTAAAATTTACTTTGTTCATAAACCTAATTAAAAACTCTGTCTTCTAGCTTCTGAAATATTATGTATAAAAGTAATTCTAGATCTAAGTTGTTCTATTCTTCATCGAAGGCCATGCGTTGTATTACCGAGTTTAAGTGAAATATAACAGTTTCTAAGTGCTAGTTGAAGAAATTCTAAAATGTCTACAAGTTATTCTTTAGGTAAATTGTGCATAAAAATAAACTTTAGGGGTGAAAATATTATTTTAACTTATGAAAGGATTCAAAATGAAAGTCTTCACTTTGGATGGGTTCATGATATGTAAATATGCAAACTACCCTCATGAGTTGGTAATATGCTTTTGTTACTTCCACTTATATGTAAATGTCCCTGTGTATAAACCAAATATGTATACGTGGAAATAATAAACACTCAAAAATAAAATAAGAACACACACAATATATATGTAGCCTATTTATATTCAATATGTAAATAGGAACATAGTTACTTGACCACGTAACCACAAGCAAAATTTAATTCTTGTTCAGAAAGTAGCTATTAGAAAGTTTCTCATAAATGGACCGAAATCCCCAAAATACCCCTTCCTGTGGTGAAAGGGTGTATGGTTTTAATTAGTGGGTTGTGCATATATAATTTTCTACACCTTATTATTCTTATTTTTTTATTTTTCATTACAGGAGTTCTTTTTACATAATAAGAGGTCGATTTGCACAATAGGCGTATTAGTTATTACAAGAGATCTTTTTAACAAATTAACATAGAAATGGCGTTTTTTTTTTTAACTATATCTCGGCCGGACAAAAATAAGAGAAATGGGATTAAAATATATTTTTGACAAACCTTCAAAATGAAACAGTAAATTAAAATATATGCTCCAAAGTAAACTTTATTTTTATTATTAAATGTGAGTGCTATGCACATTCTAAAAGTAATACTATATTGGTATTAAATGTTAAAATAAAAAAATGCAAATCCCTTCTACAAAAGGGAGTGCCACCATACTTTTAGGGTCAGTGTGGTGCAATGGAGAAGGATAGAAAGGGAAGGAAAGGTGATGGAGGAGGATTAAAAATTTGTGTTTGATAAAAATTATTGGAAGGAAAGGGAAAGGTTTGAAATGTTATGTTAAAGCTTCAACAATGTTTTTTTTATCCTCCCAAAAATGGGAGGAAACGGAAGGAAAGTGAAGACAATGGCTGATGGAGGAGCTGTGATACCAATTTTACCCTCAAGATTATACAAGTTTGCAAAACAATATACATATAAGTTAGCAGTTGCAGAGAGAATGAGGGACGGCGGGCCGGTGATTAAAGCTTGCGAACGGTGAACCCGAACTGGAACAGCGGCGATGGAAACTGAAAGATATGGGTTTTGATTTTTTGAACAATCTGAAATGATATACCGATACGGGTTTTGAACTTTTGTTTCTTGCAGACAGATATGGGTTTTGAACTTCTGATTCTTGTAATGCAGAGAGAGAGAGGGTAAGTTCAGAGTTGAGAACGAGAATAGAGATGGAGATGGAGGTGAGATGAGGCTGAAATGATTTGCCCTATTATTTTATTTAATTTTTTTTTTTCTTTTCTTTTCTTGTGGCCATAGGAGACTATATATATATAAAAAATAGAGATGGAGGTGAGATGAGGCTGAAATGATTTGTCCTATTTTTTATTTTATTTTATTTGTTTCTTTTCTTGTAGCCATATGAGACTATATATATATATATATATATATATATAATAGAGATGGAGGCTAGATGAGGCTGAAATGATTTGCCCTATTTATTTATTTAATTTTCTTTTCTTGTGGCCATAGGAGACTATACATATATATAATAGAGATGGAGGCGAGACGAGGCTGAAATGATTTGCCCTATTTTTTATTATTATTTTTCTTGTCTTGTGGCCATAGGAGACTATACATATATATATATATATCTTTTAAAGTATAAAAGGGTATAATAGTTCATTTATTAAAATAAATTCTTTTTCTTTCTTTCCTTTCCTTTTCCCAAACATAATTATTATCCTTTCCTTTTTTTTCCTTCATTAACGAATCAAACACAATAAAAAATTAAAATTATGTTTCCCTTCCCTTTCCTATCCCGCATAACTAATATTTTCCTCCCCCTTCAAACCCACCCTACGAAAAATAGCTTTAAACAATCGTAGAATGTGAAAATTATAATTTTATTGAAAAAGAAAACTACATCATTTTCCATTAAATGTATAATTTTTTTGTTCATACAAGTTTATAATTTTATATAGTACAGTATATGTTTACAATCGTAATTTCCAGCAAACACAAGGCTAGTTCTTTCAGTTGATCTACCCTAACAGGTCATCGAGCATTCCACTTTCCCCAAATATATATAAGCACACTGTTCTAAAAATCATCTCTCTCAACACTGGTAAACCACATCGGCAGTACAAATTTAAGCCCCGTTTTCATATAATCAACACAAAAACCCTAGAATTCACAATTCACAGATGGGATCCACCGGCGGCGGAGCAGATGGGGAAGATACGAAACTTCCGATCCCCGGCGAACGAAACATCCTCATCACTAGCGCCTTGCCATACGTCAACAACGTCCCTCATCTAGGCAACATCATCGGATGTAATCACAATACCCTTCCTCTCTCTCTCTCTCCACGCACAAGCACGCATAATTGTCTGTATATATATGTGTATGTGTGTTGTACAAGCAGAATGAATTCACTTGTCATCTCTCTACACACACATGCATTATTGTGTGTACATATGTGCGTTGTACTTAGTTTTTTTTTGTTTGTTATTTATGTGAAGGTGTATTGAGTGCGGATGTGTTTGCTCGGTATTGTCGACTTCGCGGCTACAATGCCATATATGTGTGTGGGACTGATGAGTATGGGACGGCGACGGAGACGAAGGCAATGGAGGAGAATTGTACGCCTAAGGAGATTTGCGACAAGTAATGTTTTAAAATTTTAGTTTATGATTTTATCAATTTCTTTTTCAGATTATGTTATCAATGTTACAGTAGCCGAATAGGCGTGAGAAAGATACCAGTGAAAAGGCCAGGTTCACCTAAACTTGAAATCAACTAATTGCTTATAGCCCTATTGCATCATCCGTGTAATTAAAAAGGAAAATTAGATATATATATATATATTTGTATATATATAGAATCTTCAGAAAGCTTATTAGATCCTTTGATTGGATTATTTATTATTTACTTTCCCAAAAAAAAAAAAAAAAAAAAAAAAAATTATTTATTTATTTTTGTTGTTCTTCTGAATAAATTAATAGAAGAAGCAATAGAAGTTGGGCTATCCAGGAGACTCTTCAAAATTTAGGACCTGCTTCTGTTCTTGAAAGTAAAAAAAGAGTGGAAACTGAACATGAAAAGAGTTTTGAAAACAATAACAAACAGGCCCTCAGAGGATGTTTGTTTTTTACCCGAACATGGCTAAGAGACGAAGTTGTCAGTACTTGTTTTTCCTTTTAATGATGAAAGACAATTTAACACCTTTTTAAAACCTTGTCTAAGTTTTATGGTCATTGCCTTGTTAAAGGGCCTAAACAACCATGCCTAGACACAACTGCCTGGACCCTTGTTAGTAAATTGATTTCCTTCCTCGATGTATTTAGGAGACATTGGTGATCAAGTAGTTCTTTTGGGTCTCCGAAATAAAAATCATATTAAAATGTATTTATTCAGCTGGGCCAAATGGGCATTATATCTTGAAATCTTTTTGCTGCCCACAGAAGTAAGGATCTCATGGAGATTTGTATTAAACAAGAAAAATGCTACTATAAAACAAAAACATACAACCTGCTAAATCTTCCAAACCGGAGAAGACAGTGAAACTTTTGAAATTAGTGGGTTGATGGATGGTTATTGTTGTTTAAGATGAAGATAAAGATGACGCTCATGCAGATCTCTGGTGTAGGTTGTTTTATTGTTTTGGATTTATTAAACGTACTAATGTTGTGGTTAAGATCCAATTCATTTGTATTCTTTTTTATGGTATATCTATTATTTGTTCCCAAGATAATCCAATGATTATGCTTAATTAGAAAAATGCACAACCGAAGTTAGTATTACTCAATAAGACTTGACACACTCCTGTTGGAGCTTTTCTTCTATTCATTGAAAAAAATTATACTTGGAAGTAAATTATTCATCATGAAAACACAGGCAGTTTGTAAACATGACGTCAATAACTTGAAGAATGAAGATATGTAGCATGTTTATCACTTTATCTTTTATCTTTTTTCTTTCTTTTTCCTTTTTATTTTTTATTATTGAATGTTACTTCCCTTGCTCCTGTAGATATCATGCAATTCACAAGGAGGTCTATAAATGGTTTAACATAAGTTTTGATATATTCGGGCGCACATCCACCCCAGAGCAAACTGAAGTTTGCCAAGCAATTTTCAAGAAACTGATGGAGAACAATTGGCTTTCTGAAAACACAATGCAGCAGGTATGAAGATCACTTTCTCTTAGAGATTAACTTGATTTACTCTAATCATAGCGTAATTCTAGGCTTTTATTTGTTTCGTTGTTTCGTTGTTTCGTTTATAACTGTTTGATAGGTTGCTTATTTCATGAGCAATATTTTGACGTATATTTTATTTGGCACTTTATTCAAGTGGAATTTTGTTTATGATGCAGCTTTACTGTGATACATGCAAGAGGTTTTTATCTGATCGGCTCGTGGAAGGTACCTGCCCGACACAAGGTTGTAATTATGATTCTGCACGAGGAGATCAGTGCGAAAACTGTGGAAAACTTTTAAACCCAACAGAACTACATGATCCTAGATGCAAGGTGTGCACATATTCATATGGCCGGGTTGACAATTGACATTATTGTCTGTCTGATGTCTCATCGTAAATGCAGTCACATGAATATTAATTTATAATTTTTTGTGAAAATGAGTATTAATTGGGTGGATAGGGACTTTATTTTTTTATTTTTATTTTTTTTTCCGATTATTTACCAACCTAACTTATAATGAGAAAAAAAGGAAGAGAGTTTTAAATGGGGGTTGACTGAACTTCCATATAAACAAAATTAACTAGGAGGAATGAGAGAAAAACATAGAAAGCCATTATATCCCCTTTCTGCCCAATTTTTTTGGAAATGGAGTTCAAGGAGGATTGTAGACTCCCTTAAGGAGATAACTTGTAATCCAAAAGAATGAATTTATCAGAAAAGAAGCTGCAGCATGGACTTGATTGGAATCACTTTCCACTGAAATTTGCCTTCATTCATGTGCCTGCTTCCTCTAGCTTTTGGAATTACAAGACCTTCCGCTTTAACCGGATTGCTATGACCTTTAGGCTTAGAAAAGGGAAGAGCTACCTTTCTATCACTAATGAACTTGCAAAATGGACATGTTTATCATTTAGCGAGTCATCGTTTTTGATCCTGCTTCACTTCAATTGGGTTTTAAACAAGAAAAAGTTCTTTCTTGGTCCGAGTGGGGATATCATTTCTCTTTTGCATGTTCATGAAGTTTTGAAAATCAGAGCGGTTGTTAACCATTGGTAATAAACCAATTTGACCACTATTAGTAAATAAAATAATTTCTTTGACTTCTGAATCCCAAACAATTGGATTAGGGGCTAGTATACAAATGCTTAATGTCATTTCGTCAAATTACTCTCACCATTCTTAAATTCCAATTTGACAAGGATTACCAACAGAGTACTTGTCAAGGTTCAATTTCTATGAGGAGGGGACTTCCAAATGGCTTTAGACTATGGTTTTTGACTTTCTCTTACCATGGTTTCCAAATTATTTTAGAAAAACGGAGAAGTTAAGAGCAGATAACCAATTTCTCATTCTCTTTCATATGTTGGTAATTAATTATATGGTAATATGATCAAGATTGTAGATTCAGTTTTCTTCTAATTCATAACGGAGCTTGTTTTGTTGACAGGTCTGTAAGAACACTCCACGAATCCGTGATACGGACCATTTGTTTCTTGAGCTTCCTTTGCTGAAGGATAAATTAGAAGAATATATAAGTAGCATGTCAGTGGCTGGATCGTGGAGTCAGAATGCCATTCAAACAACAAATGCTTGGCTTAAAGAAGGACTAAAACAACGTTGTATTACTAGAGATTTGAAGTGGGGAGTTCCTGTTCCACATGAGAAATTCCACGACAAGGTTAGTTGAGAAATATGCACCTTGTAGAAAGATTTTCCATTTCTTTTCCATGTTTTGCTTTAAATAGGTTTCTTTGTAGTTGTCATACAAAAAGAATGGCTAACTATCTTGAATTATTTTTCTGGTTTTGCGAATTGATTATTCCAACCATATGATGGTTAGGTATTTTACGTCTGGTTTGATGCCCCTATTGGATATGTCTCAATAACTTCATGTTACACACCTGAATGGGAGAAGTGGTGGAAGAATCCTGAAAATGTGGAACTATATCAGTTTATGGGCAAGGATAATGTGCCATTCCACACTGTAAGTACAGTATTCAATCAAGAACAGGTTGCGAATATTACGTTTTTATTGATTCTAGATATATATATATATATATATATTTTCTACGCATTTGTAAACCTTTTTCAACTATTAAATCCATAATGATAATTGATTGTGGTTGTTGAAGTATTTCTATTTGGCATCACTCGTTTATGATTGCTTGAATGCAACTTCCTGGCTTGCCAAATTTGGATTGGTGCTAAAACACTCTGAATGGGCTGACCTCATTTCTATGGGATAAGACAAGGATGATGATGGCATTCTGAATGATTTGTCCCTTACACTTTATCAGAAATGCTGGGGTGTAATGTTGTTGAAATGTAACCAGAGGGGAACTTTTTTAGGTTGATGTTGTCTTGCAATGGAAAGAATTCATTCTGTGTGATGCAACTTTAGTAGCCTTCACCCATGGAAGGAATGTGCAAGAGAGCTGTTAGATTTGGACTAATTAGTTTAGTTGCTACTACATACAAGATTTTATTTATTTATTTTATTATTATTTTTTTAATAATTAAGATTTTATTAAAGGCGCTCAAGAGGGGAGCACTCAAAATAGAATGCTAACAATAAACTTGTATGCTATTCTACTGCATACAAGATTAGTGTTAGTTCTTCTAAACTTCCAGAGGGTTAAATGATGAGGAATTGAGAATTAATGAATTATTGAGAAGATTTCCTTCTGTCAGTTTATGTTTATTAACTTTGCCCTAGTTTTGCATTATTTTCTTATCTGGTTTGAAGGGGATGTGTTGCTATCGTGTTTGAGTGGGTCCCTTTAATAAATGTCTCAATAATTAATGAATTATTGAGAAGATTTCCTTTTGTTAGTTTGTGTTAATTAACTTTGCCCTAGTGTTGCATTATTTTTTTATCTGGTTTGAAGGGGATGTGTTGCTATCGTGTTTGAGTGGTCCTTTTAATAAATGTGCCAAGTTGGTTCATGCACGCACACCATCAAATGAACATGATTTCTTTGTTAATTATGTACATTTTTAAGGCCAAGCCAAAGCCCACTAACCGAATATCTGTTTCGGTGCAAAAGTTGCCAGCCTAGTGTAAACTTCATATGACCTTGTATCTAGGATTGGGTGATTTATAGTGGAACCATCAAGTGTATTTCGTCAGCAAATGGTGGATAGTCTTCTCATCACTGTAATCTTGCTTAATCAATTTGGTCCATAGTGCTTTTCTGGTTTTGTATCTTCGTTTCAAGGCAAAGCATTGAGCAGTAGAGGCTCATCCTTTTGGGGATTCTTCTTTTGTCATAATCTGCTGTATCTAAGAGGAAATTTGTATTGGTGAAACCTAGATTGCTAAGCAGAAATCCTACTTAGCTTTCTACTTTGTAGTTCCTTCCGGAGGTTTTTTTTTTGAGGGTGGAGAGTTCAACCAAACAAACCCACCTGTTATCGATATGTCCCTAGTGGGACTTGGACCCTCAACCTCTCCCCATTTGGGGAGGAGAGGTTATACCATTGGGCTGGAAGCTCTTTGGTTTTTGGAGGCTTTTCGTGTCTTCTTTCTCTACACTTTTATTTCATAGGGCTTTATTGTGGTCTCTGAAATTCTTTTGTTTGTGGTGAGATTCTTTTGTAGTCACTATGTGGAAATTTTTTTCGTCTAATGTGGTTCCTTTGACCACGTTATCACTTATTTGATGGTGCTAATCTTAAATTTGGTAATTGTAAATTTGACCAGGTGATGTTTCCCTCTACGCTTCTTGGCACTGGTGAAAACTGGACTTTGATGAAGACTATCAGTGTTACCGAATACTTGAACTATGAAGCAGGTTGGTTAAAAGTCAGGTTGTGGTTTAACCCACATGCAGTGTGGCCGAGTCCTTGTGGCTTTTGGTTGATCATAAATAACCTTTGTATCTCACGAATCCCTAATGTTTTGACTCTTTCATGTTATTTTGGATGTTTTGTGCAGGGAAGTTTTCAAAGAGTAAGGGCATAGGAGTTTTTGGAAATGATGCAAAAGATACAAATATACCTGTAGAAGTATGGAGATATTACCTGCTAACTAATAGGCCAGAGGTATAGTTCTTTTGTTACATGTCTGCCATTGATTTTCTTTTTGCATCCTTCCTTGTCTCTCTCCTACTGTTCTAATGGGATTGCCATAATTAGGTATCTGACACGTTGTTTACATGGCTGGACTTGCAAGCAAAACTAAACAATGAATTGCTAAATAATTTAGGCAATTTCATCAACCGAGTCTTGAGCTATATTGCTAAAGATCCAGGTTGGTCAGCTGTTTGTGCAGATTGTGCTTTTAGTTTTTGAAAAATGTGCTGCTTATAAGTTCCGAGTCTTGAGAGCTTTATTGTGTATGACGAGTCTAGAAGTTATTGCTGTACTTTATTTTTTCGCGGTGATAAAACAAGCCATTTCCATGCCTCATTGTTGTTGTTTTCGTTATGAATAATTGAAACTAGAAATTATTTGTATTATACCCTTTAAGAAGTTAATTTCGATTTCATTCATCCAGTCATCTGACTCTCCGCTGACACTTTTATAAAATGGGCCTGTGTATTTCTTGTTTTTTTATATATATATATATTTTTCCTTCCATACATTTTGTTGGGTAGACTGATGCATGTAAGTCTAGGAAGCATGACCAGGTTAAGGAGAGGAGCCATCATGGTGTTCAACAAAGATGTGGATATTTGCGGACACATTTAAACATGTGCTATGTCCATGTCTTAAAAATATTTATTCAGACATGCACTTTATAAGTCTGGAAACATGTAGGGTATGGCAGGGTCATGCTGATGGTTTTTTATATATAAAAAAACGGGTATAATGTGTAAAAGTTAGATGTTTTTAGTTTGAAAGACAAAAAATAAAAATTTGAAGTAGTGAAAACAAAAGGCTTTGCTTGAGAGGTTTTGGTGGGCCTGTGGGAGTAGAGTGGACGACTTTTGGCATTTAAACTGAGCATTAATGATTAGTTTACCATTGTATTTATGGCGTTTAACTTGAGATTGTCCCATACCTCGAAGTATGCCTAATGCCTATCTGTTAGTTTTCTAATTTTATTATCATATTTATAAGATCATATATTTTATCGTATGCAGCAAGTATCTGTGGGATTTCCTGGTTCTTTAGGAATTATGATATTTTATGCTGGCACGCCCCTCTTGCTTGAGTTTCCAAGCCCCTTGTTATATCCACACCTAGATGTAATTATTTTTAAGTATATAATATTTAATTGCATCTTCCAACAGTACTTAAATGACAGTGCCCATTGACAGAAGTAGATGAGAGACACGTAGGATATCGTTCCATTGTCCCTGATGCTCCGGGTGCAGAATCACATCCCCTAACCAAGTCGCTGGGAGAAAAAATTGGCAACTACGTGGAGCAATATGTAGAAGTCATGGAGAAGGTGATTTATGCCATACTGGATGATATTGTTTCAAATTTAACTCCATATTGCCCTTCCACATGTTTACATAATAATAATGTCCATTTTGCAATTTGGCATAGGTTAAACTAAAGCAAGGATTGAAAATCGCGATGAGTATTTCTGGCGAGGGAAATGCATATCTGCAAGTAAGCTTGCAACATGTTTACAGCTCTTTGATTGGCTTCTTGTTTGGTCCTATATTCTGTTAGATTTGTAGTTAAGAAGAGGGCTTTGTGCTTCTTTTGAATCACTGCTAAAGACTTACTATGTTAATAATCTGCTACAGGAGAGCAAATTCTGGAAGCTTTATAATGAAGACCAATCTTCGTGCAAAATAGTTATGAAAACTGCCACGGGGCTAGTATATCTTCTCGCATGTCTGTTGGAACCATTTATGCCATCATTTTCTTTGGAGGTAGTTTAACTAACTGGAGCTCGTTCTTGCATCTTTGGAACATATCCATAATGTTTGTCAGATTTTATAATGTTCATCCTTCCTGGGATGTTTTGTTGTTTGTCCAATACCTGTCTAGGTACTTAAGCAGCTCAATTTACCACCTGAAACACAAGTTTCACTTTCAGATGAAAAAGGAGATATTGGAAGGGCATGTAGGCCCTGGGAGATTTTACCTGCCGGTCACAAAATTGGAACACCAGAGCCATTGTTTAAGGAATTGGTATATATTTTATTGTGTTGCAGTAAATGTTGTTTGGTAGCTGGTTGTTGTTTTTATTTATTTTATTTGTGGTCCAGTGTGACCTATGTATTTGGTTGATATTTCATTGGTTACAATTTGATGATGTGCAGAAAGATGAAGAAGTGGAATTTTTCAGGGAGAAGTTTGCTGGAAGCCAAGCTGAGAGGATTGTTAAGGCAGAAGCTGAAGCTGAAGCAAAGAAGATAGCTGAACAACTTAAGCAAACGAAAGTTTCAGGTTACGTGCTTTTTTCTTTCCATTATATTTAATTGTCAGTTCAATTGATTTCCTGTCATTCTGTCACCTTCTTTGAGAAAATGTTGCTCTTATCTGCACACAAAAATGTGTGTGATTCTATAGGCATCTTCTAGCAGGGCATCTATTTCCTCCTTATAGTCGGATGGAAATAACAACAGGGCTTAGGTATTGGGATTAATGTAGTTGACTCCATATAGTTGGGAAACGGCTTTGTTGAGCTGAGTTGAGTTGTTTTGTCCTATCATAAGCTCTGCGCAGTAGACACAATTTTTGTAACTGATATACATGTTGTGGCGGGAGTGTTGTACACTGGGCTAGCCCTTTTATATGCATGCTGTGTTTCATTTGTTTGGAGGCCTCCATTGTCAATCTTACCTAGGTTTGTACTCCTTAGTTTTATGCATGTTATACATGCTTCACAATCTCTTGATCCCTGAAAATTAAATGGCTTCCTACCAATGTCATGTAAACAGGCATAATTTTTTTTAGTATATCATATAAATGCAAATTTAACTGTATTCTGCAGATGGAAAGCATTAATTTTTTTTTTTTTTTTTTTTTTTTTTTTTTTTTTTTTTTTTTTTTTTTTTTTTGCACTTACTAGATCTAAAATTTGACTACTTTTAGCTTCTCTGATCCTTAAGATATGTAGGTGTTGTTACTGGGAAAAAAAAACAAAAAGATTTGGCCACTCAATTTTTTTTGGGGAGTTTCTATAAGTTTTTAAAGATGCCTTATTTTATTATTTTTTATTATCTATATATATATATATATAATTTTGTTTGAAGGACATTTTAGTTATTTCAATCTTTAAATTGAAGAATTGTCGTTATTTGCTCAATTTGAAAAATGTGGGTTGGGGGGGTATAGCTTTTTTTTTTTTTTCCCCGCACTTTACCCTAATTTAATTGTACAATGCAATCTGGTGCTGATAAAATCAATTCTTATTGTTTGCATACAGATTTCGCTTAGGGAAAAAAGAAGAAGAAAATTTGTGTATGCTTTTCTAGGCATAATTTTAATTTTCTCTGGAAACGTATCGGACAACTGGTAATAATTTATTTGGAAATCTTTTCTATTAAAGAGATGCTTATAAAAATATATATATTTGAGTATCTTCCCACTGCCCAGAACACCAGCACATTCCTTCTTCAGTGGCTGAGAGAATTGAAAGATTGCAATGCAACTTTCTTTTTGGGGGGGAGGGGGGAAGGAGAAGAGTTCAATTTTCACCTGGTTCGGTGGGATCAAGTGTGCCGTCCAATTCTGTTTGGAGGCTTAGGGTTTTGGAGGTTGTTGCCTTTTAATAAGGCTCTCCTTGGTAAATGGCTTTGGAGGTTTGGGATCGAGAGGCATTGGTTATGGAGGAGAGTTATTGCTAGCAAATTTGGGGAAAGTCGTGGTGGGTGGTGCTCTCTGGTGATGCGTGGTCCAAGGGGGGTGGGAGTTTGGCATTTTATTCGGAGGGGTTGGGATGACTTCTGCAAGTATGCTCGTTTTCGTATTAATGATGGAAGGAGGATCAGTTTTTGGAAGGATCTTTGGTGTGGGGGACTCCCTCTTGCTCTCGCGTTCCCACGGCTCTATAGGATTGCTTCTCATCGACAGGCCATGGTTGTTGACCATTATCATCTTAATAATGGGAGACTGTCTTGGGATGTTCAGTTCAGGAGGCATTTTCAGGGTTGGGGGATTGATGATGTTTCTCGTTTTCTGGAGCTGTTGTATAGCCAGGTGATTTCTTTTGGGGAATTGGATTGGTGGTTCTGGATTCCTAACTCGCAAGGCCGTTTTGAGGTTATGTTCTTTTTCAGATGCCTTTCGGTTGGTCACGGAGATCCCTTCCCTTGGAAGTCTATTCGGCGGTTCAAGGCTCCCCGCAAGGTCGCCTTTTTTGCTTGGACCTCTGTCCTGGGTAAGATTTCAACTCATGATAATCTGAGGAGGAGGAATCAAGTGGTGGTCAATCACTGTTACGTGTGTTTGTGTAATGAGGAGTCTGTTGATCACCTCCTTTTACATTGCAGCATGGCCAGAGATTGTTGGGATTTGATGCTTCGATTATTTGGGGTCCATTGGGCCATGCCTTTTTCCTCTAGAGGGTTGATTGAGGCTTGAAGAGGCGTCTCTGTTGGGGCTGGCATTAAGGACGCTTGGAGGGCTACGCCGCTTTGTATCTGGTGGTGTATTTGGCTTGAGAGAAATATGAGATATTTTGACGGAAAAAAGAAGCTTGTTTCTATGCTTAAGTTCTCTGTTATTTCTACTCTTTTTTGTTGGCTTTTAGGGAGAGATTATAGATCTATGGAGGAAATTATTGTTTTCTTGGCCTCTCTGAAGGTCTAAGGCGCCCTTTGGCCCTTTTGTTTCTTTGGGCTTTGCTCCCCTTTTGAGTGTTTTTAATAAAATCTTACTTGTCAAAAAAAAAAGAACACCAGCACATTATTTCCTTTTGAAATGCCAAAACTCTCAAGCTTCATCTTCGTATATTTTTTAGCAATTGAGGTTGTAAAGATTATCTTATTATTTTTGTATATTTTGTTTAGTCCTGGTGCATTAATTACTCCAATATTTCTGTTGGTGGTGTTCTATTCATCTTCTTTGTGTCCGTGCAAACTAATTTGTTCACTTTTTGGAGATATGTGGTTCTTTTTATTTGTTGAATGACAACTAATTCATGCTCTTCAAGTTGTTTAGGACTTGCTTAAGCCCTTTACCTGTGACATCCTATACTGTAGGATACCCTAATTATTGGTTGATGAATGGCTTTCTTTGGCACAAATTCTGTTAGCACAACTTTGCACTGTCTTTCTTTTGTGCATGTATACACTACATAAATACATATATTTATATGTATGTCCATGTAATAAAAGAAAGTTTCAAATTGTGGCTTACTTTCAGCATGCTATTGTATTGACAGATGGAAAGAAAAAAGGCCCAGCAAAATCTACAGCTGAAGCCAAATCCAAGACCATTGCTGAAGCAGAAGTTTCTATCAGCAGACTTGATATCCGCGTGGGTCTTATTACAAAAGTCCAGAAACATCCTGATGCCGATTCTTTATATGTGGAAGAGATTGATATCGGTGAAGGACAACCTCGTACTGTTGTTAGTGGCCTTGTCAAGTATATTCCTCTAGAAGAAATGCAGGTTTCTGTTCTCTACTTTTCTAGTTTCCTCATATATTAGATTATATTTTTAGTGTACTATTTATTCACAATGATGATATTTCTGTCAGAATCGTAAGGTCTGCGTACTTTGCAACCTGAAGCCAGCAACCATGAGGGGTATAAAATCACAAGCGATGGTTCTTGCTGCGTCCGACAGTGATCACACAAAGGTAACGAGTACCTTTTTTATTTTTATCTGCGTACTATTGTTTTGTGTTTTAAGCCCCTTCGCTTACTGATGGCACCTCCCCTTTGAGAATGGAGGATGTAATGTAGTTGTCACACTGACTTTGAGTTTAAAAGAAAGAAAAGAGTAAAATGTGCAATCATGCATAAGTTTGCTGATGGTAAGAAAGAGTATAAAGGCTGCATTTTGAACATGACATAATTTATTTGTTTATTCCTTGGTCTTTTAATTGCACATCTTATATATGCATGGTGTTTACTAGTGTGTCAAACACATTCTAATATTAAAATATGCAGTACAATAGTCGCTCTCTGAACTGTAAGATGTCTTTTGGTAGACATTTTGGCTATGGGATGTTTCAGAGATACTGTTGTCGTGTTTAAGATTGGATCATTGGGCATGGATCCGAAGGGGTAGCTAGGTTTAAGTGTTTTCTGATCAAACGTTATCGATGCTGGTGCAATTTCAGGTTGAATTGGTTGATCCACCTCAATCTGCTGCTGTCGGAGAACGAGTCACATTTCCCGGATTTGAAGGCAAGTCCGATGATGTTTTAAACCCCAAGAAGAAGGTCTGGGAGACAGTTCAAGTGGATCTGCACACCAACAAAGAACTGGTAGCGTGCTACAAAGACGTGCCATTCACCACATCAGCTGGTGTTTGCAAGGTTTTAACAATTTGTGATGGGTCGATAAGGTAGATAGGTCTTCAAAAAAAACCCTTGATTCAAACAGAAAGAAAAAGAAATTATCTTATTCAAGATTTTGCCTCATTAGTTCTCTTATAAATTTTCAATTGTATTCTCGATTTATCGATATAGTGAAAACAATTTTCCTTTGCTGGATTCTGTAAAACGATAATCAGAACCATCATAAATGATGAATGTATTGAGTGATGGAAGAGTTGGTATCACGATTGGTTGCATTTTCTTGCCGACACAATTTGTCATTGTGCCTTGTATACATACCATTTCGTTATAATAAATTCTGTAGAAAGCCAACCAGAAGGACAATAAGTGATGCTCAATTTTGGCTGATGGACCAAAAAAGGCAATAGGTGCTGCTTTTTGTGATTTCTGTCTCTGTCTCTCTGTGTCTCTCTCTCTCTCTCTCTCAAACACGCGCACACAAATGGATTTAAAATTTTGTTCTGTGATTGTGTAGATATGCCTCTGCTGGTATTCGTTGGAATGAACCAACAATTGCATAGCCAATGAATCAGGAATGCATGCAAGTAGATGGCATGCTTATAACTTTTGTGAGGGATAGGGGAGTAATTTAATCTCTCAAATAATTGGAGCAGACCAAATTATCCTAGTTGGTACCATTATTGTCTTTAATGTGTCAATCAACATAGATTCAAGTACCGATGACCATTTTGCTCTGTAGTGCTAAATTCGAAGTCTTGGAATCATCAAGGCCTTGAGACTAACAATAGGAAAAAGGTCATCTCATTAAATAAGGATGCCGACAAAGCGCAATGTGGAGAAGTTCCACAATAGCCTGACAAAGTATCTCCACATATGTTTTAGTTGTTTGAAATTAGAGTTTTAAAATTAAAATAGGTAAAATTAGAGAAAAGTAATTTAAAAAAATTATATATATATTTTTAATTTTAATTTTAATTTGCTCTATTTCTATACAGTTGAACACAGGATATTGTAATTTTTTTTTTATTGTGAGTGGGAGCACAATCACGGCTAATGTTATAGTTATGTCATGTTGTGGGGTTGCTCTAGTTCTATACAATCGAACATGTCATATTGTGGGAGTGAGGATGTTTGATGATGACTCTCCAATAATAACGCTTCTCAAGTAGGAGTTTTAAACGCAATAATCCTTTTTGACATGCATCCTTTCTGCCCATGGAAGGCTACCGGCATGGACGCTTTTAGCCAAAAACATGCTTTTTCTGTTTTTTCCTATGTGCAAATTCAATGTAGGGAGGTTAGGCATGCATAGGATAACAATTGGATAATAATTTCAAGAAAAAAATTCTAACATTTACTTAATAAATATATCATTGATATAACACATGCACATGCACATTCTTAATTTATTTTAGTGATACGGCTTAAAAAAAAAAAAAAAACATTTTATTGAGCAATGAAGCTTTTGAGAAAGAAGCAATGCATTTTATAAAGAAAAAATAATTTAAAAAATGCAACAAAACGAGACTTTTTACTTTTTCAGGAATTAAAAAAAAAAAGTGAAAAAATGTCCCATTTTTTCTTGACATATAACTCAAAGGCACTTGTCAATTTTCTCCTCATGAGAACTTAATATTCAACTTTCAATCACATATGAAAAACGATAACTTTGAAGATCTGTAATAAAATTAGACTGATGTAATGTAATCACGGCCCGTTCATGTCCGGAGGGGGCACATGCCCCCTTGACTTGGCCCGCCCACTATATTTTTATAGCAATTTTCTTAATTTTTTTTACATATATATAGAAATTTGTTTATAATGCTCCCTCAAATTATTTTAATTTTTAAAATTCTCTTTAAAAGTTTCTTTCCCTATTTAAATTCCTTTAATTTTCTTAAAAAAATAAAATTTTCCTTCTAATTCCTTTTCTTTCGAAAGCTATGTCAATCTTCTTTTCCTCTTATTATCTAAAATTATTTTTCTTATTATTATTCTTTTCTTTGTTTATTTATTTATTTTTTGCACTAAAATTCCGACTGTCTACCTCTGGATGTAACCATCAATGATGGAGATAAACCAGTTAAAGTGAGATTGTATTCTTTTTTTGGTAATTAAGTAGTATTAATAAAAGACATGATTGTCTTGTCTTTTCTTGTCTTGTCTTGATTAAAAAGAAAAAAAATAAAAGAATAATTAATACTACTTAATTACTACAATACTACTTATGAATTGTGACCCATGGGCCATGGATTCTTCATAATTACTTGTGAGTTATGACCCATGAATTCTTCTCACGTGCCCGAATAATTACGATATGATCCCCACGCGCTCTTCTCATGAGCCCTAAAAATTCTAAATTCGACGCAACGAATCTGCTTCAGTATTTCGTTCCACCACCTCTTTTTCCCTTTCCCACCCGGACCACGCAAATTCTCTTTCTTTCTCTATTCTAGAGAGAGAAAACTGGAAAATTTAGATCTCTTGAAAGGAAAATCTAGAGAGAGAGAGTCTATGACTAGAATGGGAGCAACATAGATCCGACTTGCAAGGTCAGTTATTTGTCACTTTTTTTCCTTTTCTGTTTCATCGTTTTGGCTTTTTCTTAGTTGTATTGAAATGTTTTATATGTTCGTTTGGTGTATTTGATTCGAGTAATGTTGCTTTTACGACTTTTGATTTGTTAAAGCATCTTGATTGCTGATTGACATCGTCCATTGATACTTAGCACTAGTTATATGCTTGTTTTTCTTTAATAGAAGAACACGATTTCGGTAGAAGAATGGTTTTTTAACTTCAATGCTGCGTTCATCTTGCTTACAATGTGTGTGGATTGAAGTTATGTTTGTAATTGTGGAATTACTTTGGTTTTAATTATTTGGTTTATATCAACTGCCAGTGGCCTAGCGGTATCAGCCTCTTACCTCCCAAAGGGAGGTCAAGGGTTCATGTCTCTAGTCTCAGTAGAGACGTATGTGTGAGTACCAATTAGGGAAATTTTTTTTTTGGTTTGTTTTGGTTTAAATGGGATTTTGATACTAATTTAGTTTGTACATTGTTTGTAAACTTCTATAGTGATTATGACTTCCTACCTGGTACCCCCAACCAATCATATCCTTTTCCTTCCCATCCACAATGTTGGACTGGTTATTTTCCGTGATAATAGGAGTAAACAGTGAATGATTGGCTTGGGTACTATTTTTCCGGGTACCTGGGATACCCTTCTGCGTTATAGATACCTAGGAAGCATTAACATGCATACTTAGAAGCGGTTGTAGTATCTGACATGGCTTGATGTGTGTAGGAGACACACACGTAGGACATGTGGATTTCTGGGGTAGTTAAGGAAAATGATTGGCTGGCCGAAGGGCTCCCCATCTACACAATTGTTAGTGTGGGACCAAGGTCCCACAGCAGCACTTGTGTAGATGGGGAGCCCTTTGGCTGGCCCCTTAGGCCAGCATATCACAACTCAGTTAGTTAAATATACAAAAGCATACAATTGGAACATACCCCATCTCTAACCCTTTTGTTACTTGTTGTGTAAATCCTCATTGGAGCATATGTTTATGGAGAGAGGAAAAGCTATGGCTAGGGACAAAAGAAATTGCCATTTTTGAAAGCCAGCCAATTGGTTTATTCTTTGTGTAAATTATTTTTATAGCGTGGTTTTTGATTGGCATGTGACTCAACACTCTTCTGCAGACTCTCCCCTCCCCTCCTTTCTTTTTGTAGGATAAAATTGATAAATGAAGTAATACACATTTACTCTTAGACATTTTTTTGTAAAAGAACATTTTCGTTATCTATGTTGTCGTCATTGTGCCTATATTTCTTATATATTATTATTATTATTTTAAATTGCTATGTTGTCAATATCTGTATTTTTTAGAGACATACATGAATGCATATTTAGATCAACTGATTATCCTATCAAGATCTCGTGTAAGTGTTTTATATTCTATAATTACTATGCACTTATAATTGCTAAATTTTGGCAGTGGTCTACCTTTTTCCACCTAAATAATAATTGAGGTTTAAAATATTATGAATGTAAATAAGGGTCATTACCTAGTGTGGTTGATTTTAATCGAGGGTTCTAGGAGGGGTAGAACGAGTACAAGCCTAATTTTTAATGCTCCAAGCAATGGCCCCTAAAATATTCTAATTGTATATGTTCAATAAAAAAGAAACTATCTAATTTTTTTTTTTTTTTTTCTTCTATAAAAGTTTGTCTCATCATGAGAACCATTCTCTGAGAACCCTAGCCCCAGGCAATGGAAAAACTGATTAGGGTCTTATAATAATGTCTTGAGCCAAAATTCTGAGATACTATTATTATCCACATTTTAATATGATCTTAGGCCTTTGCAAGGGCTTTTAGGTATGAAAAATGATGTTTAAGTTGTCTTTGAGTCTAATTATGTTTTTAAATCTTTTTACTAATAAAGAAAAATGTATTAATTATTTTCTTTTATTTTTTTTGGAATTCAAAAATTAATGAGAAATAAGCAAGCATATAAAATGATTGGAAACATTTGTTGTTTCTAAATCATACTGAATTCTGTCCTAAGCATCTGTATTGAAGATCCAATTATCATGGTTGTCTTTTTGTATCCACTTCTAGGTTACAAGCATAATTATTAATTTGTTACATAGTTTAGGTTTAAGTTGCTTGGTTGCTCTTTTTGCTTTCTCTAAGGCCCCAACAAAACCATTCTGGGTCAGAGACAGCACATTGTTTTTCGATTTATTTAAGAGGGTATTAGAAGATCAGGATGCTAAAAATTGATACGTCGACTGGTAAAGTTTCAAAAGCACTCTGGGTCAGAGACAGCACATTGTTTTTTATTTATTTGAGAGGTTATTTGAAGATCAGGATGCTTAAAGTTGATACTTCAGCTGGGAAAGTTTAGCATTTATGGACTTTTCCTGGTATCTTATCTCTCTCTCTCTCTCTTAATATATATATATATATATACATACATATGTATGTATGTATGTATCTGTGTGTGTGTAACTTTGTATATGTGCAATAATGTTCAATTCAAGAAGAATTGAGGAAGAAGGATGAGCATCCTTCAAATAGAAAAAAGAGAAATAAAAATAAGTAATATCCCATTCAAATGAAAAAAATTAATATCTCTTGCATTAAATGTCCAATGCTACCAAGACGCTAAACTGCCTAATTTAACCCAACTAATCATCACTGAACCCTCTATTAAATCACCAGAGATTCCCATCTCGGCTGCCTTTTTTAGCTTTTTCTATCTCATGTACATTTCCATGAATTTGATTTAATTGTTTAGTGCTCTGCATATTTGCATACTAGTAATATTAATATAGTTTTGGTCTTAGATTTTTCTTTTCCATTTTCTTTTTGTTCTGTGAATGATTATTTGTAACACATTTTTTTTTTTTCCTGATAAGTGATTATTTATAACAACCAATTTGTATGAAAATATTAGATGAATCCAAAACTCTGGTGGAAATTTGGAAAATATGATGGATTCTGTTGTGTGGCCCGATTGTTTATGCATATTTAAACTTGTTCAAAATTTGACCTTTTTTGCTTCTTGCTTATAAGTTTCCCTTGGTTGGTATTTGCATGCAGATGCTTTGTTTCAGTTTAGTGGATAAGCTTTCATGATGATGACAGCAATAATAATAAGAAGTTGATTGTATAGTTATTTTCAGTTATTATCTGTCCTCTAGTTACTCCATTTCAAATTTGTTTACTTTACTTCTGTTGATAGCTGGAAATATATCTCCTTCAATTATCAAGCATCTTCACTCCCATGCATGCACGCACAAAATGTTGATTATTTAGTTCTTTTTCATGTTCGCAAGAGCATTACAGGTGCATAATTTGCAGGTGTTTATGAACCCTGCAACACCTTGACATAAGTTGTTTCAGTTGAGCAATATTACTCTTTGGGAATTTATTTCGAAGAATGGCAGATGGAATATCGAGCTTTTGGGGCCCTGTCACATCCAGCACTGAGTGGTGTGAGCAGAACTATGTCTATTCTTCTTATATTGCAGAATTTTTCAACACCATATCAAATATCCCATGCCTTATTTTGGCACTCATTGGTCTTGTAAATGCCTTGAGACAAGGGTTTGAGAAAAGATTTAGTGTTCTTCACTTATCAAATATGGCACTTGCAATTGGGAGCATGCTATTCCATGCTACACTGCAACGGCTGTAAGTATTCTTCTCCATGCTTATTGAGTTGACTATGTTCTCCATAAAGTTGAATTTTTTTAGTAACCTATAATATTTGTCTACTCATTCAATTTAATGAAAATAGTTGAATATTGAGAAATTAAGAGATGCTTTTGAAGCTTTGTGTGATTTATGCTACCTAACCTTCGGGGATGGAGCCTAAGGAAGTCTGGGTGAGAGTTTTAGATTGTTTTTCTAATTCTTCTCCTTGTCTTATTTCCTTCCTTGAATTACTACATTCCTGTCAACAACAACAACAACAACAACCAACTAAGCCTTTTCCCAATTTCTTGTGGTCGGCATGTCTTTACCACTCTACGTTCCTAAAAGGAATACAACCTTTCTTCTAACCTTCTAAGTCTTAATATCGCAAGTTCTGCACAATCTTATTCTGCCACGAGACAGTTCTGAGCAGCATTATTTCAAGTTATGAGTGTTATCTTACGGCAATTTGGTATCGGAGTTCATTCTTATTAATATGTACATATGAATATTTTTGTTAAATTATGCCCATTAGATTACTTTACCTACTCCATAGTCTATACAATTCTATTAGTTAACCAAGAATGAAAGAATATGATGTACCATTACCATCCACTGGTCCTTTGGATCTTTTGTGGTGCATCGGGGATAGACTTTAACTAAGAAGGACATGCACTCCTTAGAATGGCCATATCCGCATCCATCACATGTAAGAACAAGACAAGAATTAGAGACAGTTCCTTCATATCTTGAATATATTCGTAATTTACAATAAAATACTTAATTTCAAACCTAGGGTCGGCACTTCTTGGACACTTGTCACATGTGCCCTACAAGTGTTGGATGTTGTGATGTGACCTTTTAGCATGAAGAAAAGTATCATTATTAAAAATCAAATTAAAGGTTTATATAAAAGTTATTAAAACGTTTGACTAAATTTAAAAAGAAAAATGGAGTAGGAAGGTTTTACCACAGAACTGAAGAAGTATGCATGAGACACAGCACATACACATATTCATCATATGTGTGCAGTTTCTTTATATACGTGACCTTGGTAATTATCGATCATTTTGATTGGTAAGTTACAGGCTTCATATTACTGTTATAGAATATTAATTCTCAAATAATTATTGTGTATATTATGATTCTATAAATGAAAATGTGTTTTCTTCTTCTTGTATCCTTGCCAGCCCCATGTCCAGTGTATGCATGTTGGCGACTTGGCGTATCTGGGAAGCCAGATATACTGGTCAAATAACAATTTTGAGAAATCTTTTTATGTTGGGTTTATGGCCTTTGTAGGTTTTTATGCCTTCATAGGACCTGAATTTCTGCTTAATTGGCATGAATTTGCTGCCCTTACCCTTGAAATTGTGTTTGAATACCCAACCACCTGAGCTATGAAAAATTATATGAGTAATCATAACAAGTTTTTCAGAGTTACCTTTGTTTAGTTGTATCCCCTTTCCTTTTAAAGCGGTGGATCCTGGTAGAGAGGGGATAAGGTAATTAAATTTAGTTGAATGCACTTGCCATCATAGTAAGAGTATTGTGGTTAAGTAGACTATTTTTAGGGCCTACAGGTTCAGACTAGGAGAAATGATTGGAATAAGAGATTTAATTACCAGGTATTCCAGTGATCTTGCACCCTGCTCTCTTGAGTTTAACATGTCAGGTTTGAAGTTATGTATTATATTATAGATATTTCAAAAAGGGCTTGATTATTTCTTTTTTATTAAATAGATGGTTTTAGTTTATTCCAACCACCTGTATAATTTTGTATAGTTGTTCCTTCAGGTGGTCTACACTTTGAACATTTTTTTAATGATATTTTACATATCGGGGAAAAAAAAAAAGATCTATTCTGACCACCCATTAAATCAGAAAAATTGCAATTGAGTAGTGTAAGAAAATCCTTACTCTCTCTAACGTCTTTTGGTCTTGGAAGCTTTGCTGCCATCCCAGCAGGAATAGGAGAGAATTTTAGAGGATTGTTCTTGTTCTTTTTCACCCTTCGTGTATATCATGCTCGCTTGCTCCTGTGCGTGCATTCAAGATACCACTGTTCGATCCACCCTCTCCTAGTTTGGTAGAATTTAAACATTGCTGCCAACTGGCTAGGGAACCAAGTGGTTATATCATGATCATTTGACTTGGTAATATTAATTATGTTGAGGATGAATTGACGACAAAGAACAACCAACATGTTGTCTATTAAACTTCTTCTCATGCACGATGCAGAATGTACTGAGAAATACTATGGGTTTTAGGTTTGCTTGGGAAGAAAAAGTTACCTTAGGTGTCCTAAATACAAGGAATACTCGCTGGCACACATTCTTCTTGTGCCTAAGAGAATGCTGACCTGGAAAATGTTTTGTTATCTTGTCTGACATCATTTCTACAAATGATTCTTTCAGTTTGGTATTTGATTGAGGATGATTGCTAATTAATTTTCAGGCAACAACAAGGCGATGAAACACCAATGGTATGGGAAATGCTCCTATATATTTATATCCTCTACTCGCCAGATTGGCATTACCGGAGTACAATGCCCACCTTCTTGTTCCTCTATGGTGCCGTATTTGCCATTCTGCATTCACAGGTCCGTTTTGAAATTGGTTTTAAGTTGCATTATTTGGTACTTTGTCTTCTCTGCATTCCACGGATGTACAAGTACTACATTCACACAGAAGATAGATCCGCAAAGCGTCTTGCGAAGTCATATTTGGCCACCTTATTGCTAGGGAGCCTTTGTTGGCTTTGTGATCGTCTGTTCTGCGAGGACATCTCTCGCTGGCCCTTCAATCCGCAGGGTCATGCTCTATGGCATATCTTCATGGGTTTTAACTCTTATTTTGCAAACACATTCTTGATGTTCTGCCGTGCTCAGCAACGGGGATGGGATCCAAAAGTTGTTCACTTCATGGGATTTTTCCCCTACGTGAAGACCCAAAAACCCAAGGCCCGATGAACGAAGTTACTGTTTGAGAAAAATTTTATTTCGAGGTAGGTCCATGGATATGGGCAGAAGCAATTAGTCACAAACTCACAATTCATTTTTGTTATTTTCTTTTTCCCCTCTTTTAAAAATGTAATATAAATTATGGTCGAAAATTGATTTGGTTGGTTAGGTACTGATGAAATCTTTACTGTAAAACTAGTGGCTTGGTCCCAGCGTACCATTTCTTTTATATACTTAATGATTATAAGGTGAATCAGATAGGTTTTTTTTTTAGGATCTTTTCCTTTTTTCTTAGAAATTTTTCTTGGGTGTTACTTGTTTTGCAAATTTTGAATTCAGTGCTTTAAATTTTGCTTATTGAAGGTGTATGCATATGTTTTTTACCCATTGGACAATGTGGTGGTGGTTGTGGTTGTGGTTATGGTTACGCTTTTCAAAAGTTGCTAAACAGGAATTTGTTTCTTTGGAACTTGCACTGATTAGCTTGATTCCTTCCAACTTTCATCTTTCAAATTGCAGTTTTCGATAGTTCAAAAATCTAGTTTTCACAAAACCCAGTATGACATTTTTCATCTGTGTAAAGAATGAATTTGGATGAATCTGTGTGCAAATATTTTAGTATATTATGGACTTCTTAAAATGTTATTGAACAATCAACATCTCAATGCTGTCTTGGAGCGTCCAATTCTGAACAGGCAACAATATACACATATGTAATAGCCTCAAGGTGCAACTCAGTTATGCTTCTCAGTTACAGAAGCATATCAACTCAGTTAAAGAATTCTATTTCGTGCGCGCACAAACAAAAAAAAAAAAAAAGAAAAAAGAAAAAAAATGCACTCCTCGACTCTTGTAATTAAATTCATGATGCAATTTATTTGACAAAATATAATCCACCTTCCTGTTTGTCAATACAACACCAAGCAAGCAACAAAGTGCCATGGCTATAGCCTACATGATGCAAAATAAGCATCAATCAGCCGTTCCTATTCTATTACACAAACCACAAAGTTTTAAGGCATGCATTTTAGAGGCAAGTTCAAGGTGAATTCCTACTGGGTTAAAATCATCCGCCATACAAGCAAAACAAATGCACAGATTTGTCTGGTAGGCATGACAGTGATCGAGTTACAAGCGCAAAGGAAACAAGGAGGAAAAGTTGCCAGTTGTAGACTCTTTTAAACCAGTGGACGAAGTCCTGATGTTTTCAACTTCATATCCGATCTTCTCCGCGTCAAGAAAAATTCACTTCATGCAAGTAGAAGGAGCTCAAAGTTGAGTGACATCAAGAACGGCTTCCAGTATCTTCTTCTCCAATTCAGGTTCGTCAATCCACATGGAACTTTGCCGACGCAGAAGCTCTCTCTTTTCCATTCTCTTCTCCTGCATTAGTTTTTCTCTCGCCCTCCAATACTCAAGCTTCTCTGTTCTTTCTTTTAACTGCAACCATGAAAAGTGACACACACCAAAGTATGACAAAGATATAATCAGTGTCTAAAAACAATGTGCAAAGCTACTATAGAGTAATTCCATAAAGAAAATAAATACATGACATAGGATTAACCATTGTATGAGCATTCACACATACGGTGAGTGAGGACTATATCATCTATAAAGTTCAAAAGTATACTAAACTAACAAGGTTGACCGTATATGAATTAGAGTAAGTAACACCAAACTGGCTACAATCAGTGTTGTACTTGCAGAAGCTTTACCAAATGGAATATCCAAATAAAATTTCACTTTATCATATCATATAACTCAACAAATCTCAACTCAACATTGCAACTACTAAGGGCTGATTACACGAATCTTAGTCATCTTACTCCATCAAAGGCCATGAATTAAACAATGGCCATGTATTTAACCATTCCTTTCATATGATTACTCCGTCTCAATGCACGTTAATTTTGGTCTTTCACCTTAACCCAAAGTTACTCTTATTTTTGGAGCACGTCAATCTTCCTCACTTTATAAGTTGCGTGCAACCAAAATATTCTCTCATTTTTATATCTCTAACTTATTATTTTTCGTATTACTACACCCATCTCAGTATCTATTTTTCAACTACGCTCATCTTATGAAGATTCTACAGCCTTCCAACATTTAATCCCATGATTGGTAACTGTTTTATACAAATTTGTTAGGACCAATGTCGAGATCTACAGACCAAAGGGCTTATAGCCCAATGGTATGATCTCTCTCTCCTCCCCAAAGGGGGAGGTTGAGAGTTTTGAGTCCCACTAGGGTCATATTGTGGATAATGGGTGTTTGTGTTGGCTTTAACTTCCCAAAAAAAAAAAAAGGTGGAGGTCTACAGGATTGAATCAAAGGTGGAATATCCTACATAATGAGGGTAAAGAAAAAAACGGAAACTATATGAAGGATATTTAGAAGACAAAAAGAACGATTGTTGAACACCTAAAAAATAGAAATATTATTACAAACATATGAAAATGTACGTATGCAGTATGAACAAACTTAACTAAGTAAATTTAAGAAACCAGCTTAGAGGATGGAGGCCTGACACCAACAATACAATTGACTAGTTGTAAGGTTGTGCATGGGGAAATCATGATTTGAATCCCTTTTGCCAAGAATGCATTCATTCTTCCATTTTCATCTCTCGAAATACTTCAATCAGTACATGCAAGAAATAGGCCAACTCAACAGCTTTTTATTCAATTTCTCGTGGAGTCAAATTCTCAACAGTATGAGTCAAGGGCTATTTCCCTGACCTCTGATTTCCATATAAAGGACACGAAAAACATAAATATTCTTTGTAACTTCTATTATGATGGACTGAATATCTTTTAAAAGGGACTGGAGGAAGATAAGACGATCTGAATATTAATTAAACAACCCAAGATATTTTGCTCAGGTTGTGAGGGATTTTGCTTGATTGAGATAATTTACATTAAACTAATCAACAAAATTTACCATCATGAGAGAGGAGTAGTTGCTAGTTGAGAACATTATTGTTTTATATGAATATTTGCTTCTTGTAGTCTAATGAGAAAGGGGTAGTGCAAACCAAGATAATTCTTTAACACAATTTTCCCAACACCATTAACATGTGATATAACAAGCAATAATTGTGATAAAAAGAGATAGAACCAGTCAACTTTGCAAATAGTTCCAAATATCATGACAAAACAGATTGATTGTCAAATTTTTTATATGTAAATGTACCAACAATCTCATGGCAATCCCATTACGATGTCATGACGATCTTGAACAATCCTATGACAATCCCACTATGATTCTGCCCCTTTGTGACCTTCTATATGAACCGCAACAATTAGACAATTTTGGATCATATGCAGATAGTGATTTTTATTATTACACTTCTTAATTTTGAAAGGATACCATGCCCGAAAGCACTCCTCCAGTTAACTCATTAAAATGTCAATTCTACAAGCAATATCATCTTTAATCTTTATCCAAATGATCAAGCACAAGTAACACAAAAATTTGCCTTCTGGGATCTCTTCACCTTTGATCTTCAATTAACTTGATAAAGCACTTTCTCAGCAATTGGGTAGGATTTAAGAGCATAACCTCAGCTAAACCACATTCTAACAGTTAAATTTATTTATTTATTTATTTTTCATGTTAGTTTTGGTTTCATCATCTTGCAGCATTAGTAACATTCAAATGAATCACCCAACTCTTTCTCACTGTTAAAATTAGTCAAATTATTAGGATGGGTTAGTGAAAAGTTGCGTTCTTTAAAACATTTCTCCTAATTTTTCCATGTTTCTGTAAATTAAAGATCCCCAAAATGAGCAAATATGAGCATTAGATTTATAAGTATAATCTTACATTTCTCTATTCAATCATACTATTTGCTTTTTGCTCTTGAAGAACAATCCTAACGATTAAGTATAGGATCACAATTTTAACCACCTTAGTGTTTGCTATATACACACACACACACACACACACAATAACCACACACACATATATAGAGAGAGTTAATTTGGACATACTAGGGTTTCACGAAATTCTCGCCGAGTCACCTCTCGCAGTTCAGCTTTGGCCTTCTTCTGGACGGCTTTGGCGGCCCTGCGCTCCTCATTGGCGATCCGTTGGGCCTCACTCTTGGCCTCGGCTTTCCTAATCTTCTCTTGCCTCTGCAATTCCATTTCGATTGTGTACTCCCTCCGAACCTCCTTCACCTTCTTGGCGTACTCGCGCCTCAACGCCAACAGCTTCGCCTCCGCCTCTTTCGGAGTTTTCGGGGTCTTCCAGGTGTTGATGAACTCGCTCGGCGGTGTATACTCGTGGTTGACCTTGTGATCGTTGTGGTGAGAAGGGGTTGTGGTTGAAGTGGATTGCGATCGGAGGGGTTGGGTAAAGAAAATGGTTTTTAGGGTTTGTGAGGATTGCGCTCGGAGAATCGGAGAACGGACGAGGAAGAGAGATGCCGCCATTGATATGTTCAGAATCTAGAGAGAGGGTTTAGAGAAGTGGAGACTGGAGGGTGCTATTGCACCGAAAAAAGTTGTGGTGATACAAAGAGAGAAGAAGGAAAAAAAAAAAAAAAAACAAAAGTTTATTAGTATTATAATTAAATAAATTGTTTTTATTTTTTATTTTTTTTTAATTTTAAGTAAGAACACGCTCACAAATTACACCAATTCTTACTAATTTGCTTTAGGCATGTACCAAATTTATATATAAACATACACATGTTTGGAAAAAGCAAATAACAAATTTATATAAACATGTACATGGGTTGGAAACGATTTTAAATTTTGTAAATTATCTTAAAAATGCACATATATGGTTGGAAACAATTCTTGCTTTTCCTACGAAGGCCAGACTTCACTGAAAATAGACATAGATATTTGAAGCAATTTAAGAATGAGGTTGGATAACTATTCATACAAATATGTGTTGTAACAGTCAAGTACAACAATTCATGAAAATTATAAAATGCGGTCACAAATGACACAATGCATTCCCAGCATCTTTTGTGTGGAATCTTTCTAATATTATGTTTGGTGGCACTTAATAGACTTTTAGATTTGAAATTTAACAAAAAAAAATTTAGGACAAATTTTAAACTAAACTTCCTTCAATACCAGAGACGGAGCCAGGATTTTAAGTGAGGGGGCACGTTGTAAAAAAAAAAAAACACAAAAACAAAAACAATACGGAGTGTATAAAATTCAAAAGACAAAAGAAAAAAAAATTATTCAAATATGTATGTTAAAAAGAAGAATTTTAAGAGTAGAAGTAGAAAAAGAAAGAAAAATAAGAAAACTTTAAAAGGAAAATTTTAAAAGTTTCAATTGAGGAAGGAAATTTTGACTTTTTCTATTAAAAATTTAACGAATTTGAAGAATAAAATAAAAAATAAAGAAAAAATAAAGAAATAATTTTAGGAACCACAAAATTAAGAGGAGGCACTATATATATTTTTTCATATATATGAAAAAAATAAAAAAAAAGAATTACTATATATATTATAAAGTGCGGACCAACTCAGGAGGGGCACGTGCCCCCTAAGCTTTCGTTGGATCCCTTCCTATTCAATACCATATTCAAGACACCATTCATACTCCAAAACCATAACCATAATATAAGTATTATGTCCATATTATTATGGGAAGAGGCCAAAGATAATATGTCACCAATTTGTCTTCCTACAAACAAATAAGTCAACCACCCACAAGGAAAAAAAAAGAAAAACCGCCCACAAGAATGAAAAAATAACAAAACTAATATAGACGAAACACTTTATATGTTATATCGAGTAGCTGGGAATCGTTTTCAATCTTCAAGTTTTTGGAGTTTTCTTTGGTTGTACGTGTCTCATACTTCCGATTTAGGTTGGGATTTGATGTTGGATGGATTTGGTTGTCAAGGAGTTAACTATTAGAGAAATAATAATAATAATAATAATAATAATAATAAAATTGGTATAAATGATCTTATTAGTATAGTTATGTTTAACGTGAATTACTTGCGAGTCTGTGAACCTCCAGAGTCTCTAGTCTTTTACTTAACAAAGTTTTGTAATGTATGCTACTACATACTAATACTTAATTTTTTTTGCGCAGTCTTTCAAACAATTTAACCAAAAGAAAAGAAAATGTAGCGATGATAATATAGTATTGCACTATTTTGTTGATCCGGCTGAGGAAAAAGTGTCACGCAAGAATATTTTGGAATAGTATAGAGTTTTATGAAGTGCATTATGTAGCATTAATATAAAAAAGTATAGAGTTTTTATGAAGTGTATTATGTTAGACATTAATATAAAAAATTTCTAGTAGATATGTGAACTATAAATAGGTGAAGAGGGCATTTGCTAACAACATTCTCCCAAAAAAGGAATGATAAAGTATTAATCCTCAATCCGACCCAATGAAAGAATAATGTGTATACTAAATTCGACTCTTTTCTAGACGTGTTATTGAATATTTTAATTTTTCATAAGGAATGACTGGATCAAGAAGTCCATTTATATATCTAGATAAGTATTTAGATGGAAAAACTATACATAGATAAAGTTAGGAGTCTTAAATAAGATAGTAGTTTATTTTAAAAGTTTACTTTTCAATTTGATTGAATTTTAAAAAATAATTATAAATGCATCAAGAATTACTTTTAAGGTTCAAAATACCCTCTTTCTAAAATACCAAAATATTCTTTATAGGATCACATAGGTCCAAAACACCCAAATAAATTAGGAACCCTGCTTTGTTATGTCAATCTCAGTATTGTCTGAAGGTATATCCAAAACCCAGTGGGAAAAAATTACCCAAATAGAAAATCAGTAAATTAGAGAATCTTTGCTTTATTACCCAAACTTCGCCGGGGAAAGGTAGTATGATAGTCGTCGTTTCTGCAAGAAAGCATGTGCATGAGAGAAAAAAATCTATATAAAAAAATAAATTTTTTTTTTTTTTGAATTCATTGCAACAATTATTTTGGTCAATTCATAATGACCAAACGAGTGATTAACGGGTCTCTTATAAAATTAGAATGTTAAGACCAAACGAGTATTCGGTTAAGAAATTGTTAAAAAAATATTCATTGCTCTCTTCTTTCCTAATAACTGGAATATTTTTCTCCAACACTGAGAAGAGCTGCAAGGGAATGATTTTAGCGTTACCTTCCTCCTGTGTTCTTAGCAAAATAGTTTAGGTTTCTTTTGGCAAGTTTTTATATATATATATATATAATTCTATAATCTTGTGAATTTGATTTTAGAATAGACTATACATAAAATCACTTTGAACAGATCATTTGAGACAACTTTCTTTGATATATATATATATTGTTGATAATTAAACAATTTTATTGCATAAGGAAATAGCACTAAAGAGCATTATTTTCATATTATATTATATTAGGAAGGATATTTAGGTAATTTGAAATAAGAGCCCGAGGGTATTTGGCCCATAATAATAATTCTTGATACTTTTGTAATTATCTTATTTAACTCAATCAAATTGAAGTATGAACTATTTTGTTATTTAGAATTCCTAAGTTTTTCCTATTTAGATTTGGCAGATCTCTAAGGTCGGGTTCATTCACATTCCCCTTTTTAATTAAACCCTAATATTTTTTGTATGATCTACACCATCCTCACTAGTAATGTGGATCAATAATAAATCACCTGATTTGGTTGTGATTTGGTAAGTGTGTATTTACCCACCATAATAAATCACCATCTCTGTGATGACATGTTTATTTATTATTGGCCCATATCATTAGTGAGGATGGTGTAGATCTTTACTAGTGAGAACTTAACTATTGCTCATATTTTTTTTTTTTCTTTTAAAATTATTTCCTTTTCTTGCTCTTTTGTTTTTTTTTCTTTATTATTATGTACTGTCATTTTTTCCCTCTTCTTTTTATATAATTTTATTGCTATAATTTTATGAATAGTGTATTTTATTATTTGAATTTTTCTTTATTGTAAATTTTGTGAATAATGACATACTATTTGAATATTAATTAATGCATTGTTATTGGACTTTTATTTTTTGGATTAGTGTCTTGATGCATTGTTAGTTTCAATATTCATGCTTAGCCACTGTTTTTATTAAGGCTCTGGTGCATTATTAAATCTACTAAGGCTAATTAAATTAATAAAAAAACATTGGATAGTCGATGAAAGGACAGAAAATGATTTGGGTCACATTTGGGCCGGTCTACCAGGCCGGGAGCATTATAGGGACGATAGACCATGCATAGACCGATCCACCGAGCCCAGGGCGCCATCAAGACATACCCATGCCCAATTTTACCAACATTACGAGCGGGCTTCCTATCTAGCATGGCCCGGGAAAAGACCCAGCCCGGAAGGGCCCAAGTTTGACAGCTAAGAGAGACATTTTAGGGCAAATGTCAACTTCTATAAATAGAAGTTAGAGAAAGAATGGAAGGCCCTCATGGGGATTGTTTTGGAGTGGAAGAAAATATTTTCCTAATATAGAAAACTATTTCTTACTAATTTGGTTTAGGAATGTACCAAATTTATATAAACATCCACATGTTTGGAAAAAGCAAATAACAAATTTAAATAAACATGTACATGGGTTGGAAACGATTTTAAATTTTGTAAATTATCTTAAAAGTGCACATATATGGTTGGAAACAATTCTTGCTTTTCTTAAAAAGGCCAGACTTCACTGAAAACAGACATAGATATTTGAAGCAATTTAAGAATGAGGTTGGATAACTATTCATACAAATGTGTGTTGTAACAATCAAGTACAACAATTCATGAAAATTATAAAATGCGGTCACAAATAACACAATGCATTCGTAACATCTTTTCTGTTGAAATTAGGACAAATTTTAAACTAAACTTCATTCAATACCATATTTACGACACCAATTCCATACTCCAAAACCACAAAATAATAATAATAATAATAAATAAATAAAATCCACCTACAATAATGAAACAAATATGGACAAAACACTTTTTATACCTGTTATCAATTAGTTGGGAATCGTTTTCGGTTGTCTCAAACTTCCTATTTAGGTTGGGATTTGAAGTTGGATAGATTTGGTTGTCGAGGAGTTAACAATTAGAGAAAATAATAATAATAATAATAAAATTAGTATAAATAATCTTATTCGTATCGTTATGTTTAACCAATAAATTACTTGTGACCTCGAGAGTTTTTAGTCTTTTACTTAACAAAAATGTTGTAATGTATGCCACTACTATGTACTTTATTTTGTTGATCCGACTGAGGAAAAAGTGTCACACCGGAATATTTTGTAGTGAGGTTGCGCCACATAGACGCCTATGTTCAAGAGAGATGATATTTGTAGTAGTTTATTATGGAATAATAGAGAGAATATAAATATTTGTCAAAGAAGCGTTATTTGGAATCATGGGTATACTAAAATTGGAATCATGGGTATACTAAATTCCGCAATTCCCCACTGAATCATGATAAAGTTACAATTAAAGGACATCAGGTAAGATTTTCGGCACCAACAAAAATAAGATTACAATATTATGTGAAATTACGTTCGTATTGATATTGTCTTAACTCAAATCTTAACTATCCAATAAAATTGGGACAACACATCACTACCTTATCACCTCATCCTTGTCACCGCCCAACACGGCCATTATTAAAATATATATATATCAAATTGTGATTGACATCAATAATTTTGAAAAAAATATTTTAATTTTAAGTAACATCATATGGCGGCCATTATATTTTCATCTACGAAATCACGAGCAATCATGGACTCATACTCCTCCAATGCAAATTTCTTTCTGTTTGCTTTGGAGTGAGTTTATTTAACCCCAAATATAATTATGATTAATTCTATACTTGGTAATATGATATTGGTGGTCTCTAGAGATATAACGGGTTTGATAGAGATTCAGAAGGTAAGTCCTTGAAATCTCGCTTTCGAATTGCACTCCTGATTTAAATGATATGTATGTTATGGGATCGATACACTTAAGATTAAAAAAAAAAAAAAAAAAAAAAATTTACTTTGTTGGAAACATTTTTTTACCCATTTTGTTTAGACATGTACCAAATTTATACAAACATGCACATGCCTGGAAAAAGCAAATAAATTTATATAAACATGTAAATGGTTGGTAACCATTCACATTTTGCTTTAGACAGGTACCAAATTATCTTTTAAACATGCACATATGGTTGCAAACAATTCTTGCTTTTCCTACAAACGTCAGACTTGAGTGAAAATAGACCTTGTCTAGCTATTTCAAGCAATTTATAAAGAATGAGACACTTACTCAAATTTTGCTTGAAATTACGTTCAACTGTCTAAAAAAACGAAGGCACTTAAAGTTTGAAAATACATGGTTGATAAACTAAAGAACACGTGATTAAAAATTTAAATACATTGTCAAAGTTTTATTTGATAAATTTGATTTTAAATTATCTAAACTTAATATAGATATAGAAATAGATTTATTTTAAAATAAGTGAAGGCAAGAATTTGGTGTCGTCGTATTTATAAGATTATGCCGTTAAGAAATACACACATAGTTTCATAGCATAAATTACGTGGATATATATTACTTTTACTTTTTGTAGTATGACGTGCCTTTTAGAATTCTAAATTGAATAGACATTAATAATTATAATTATTGTTATTATAATTATATGGATATATATTGCTTTAAAATTTTGTAGTAAGCTTTTATTTATTTATTTTTTAGTAAGTAAGTGAACTGTTAGTGTTAGGAAATACGTAGACACTTAAGTTTTATAACATAAATTTCGTATATATTATACATATTGCTTTTACTTTTTGTAGAAATATTTTAGTGTGATTAATTTCGTGCCTTATAGAATTCTCAATTGAATAGGAATTAACAATTACTCCGTATTATCATTGTTATTATATTTTAAATATATAAAAAAATATTTTTAAATATTACATTATGATTTTAAAAAATATAGTAAAAATATTTAGATAAGGTAAAGATATAGATACAGATAAATATAGATATAGATCTAAATGTCACATTATGTTTTAAAGAAATATATATAATAAAAATATTTTGAAATAAAAAATATATGGATATAACATTTTTAAATTCTCTATTAAATATTCTTTTTATATGTCAAATTATAATTTTAAAAATAATAAAAATGTTTGAAAATAAGAAGAAAAAAAAATCTTACACTTTTATACTTAGTATAGATAGATATGTAACAATAACATGACCAAAAACCACGGTTAACGTGTGTGTGTATATATATTCTCTCTTATTTTTGACAAATACGTCCCTTCTAAAGTAAAATGGAGGAGTGTTTATCAAAAGGAGGTACTATATTTTAGCCTTTTTGTCTTTTTATTATTCTTATTAGTTGAACTAACTAAAAATTAGCCATGAACAGTATAAGAATTTGTTTTTTTTTTTTTTTTTATTTAAATAATAATTTACATTACACTGATCTAATTTAAGGTTTGAGCAAATTAAAAATGGTAAATTGTTCAACCTTTATTAAACTTGTTCGTCGATGCTAGAAAACGACTTTGAGTATGAAAAATTAATAATGCCCTTATATTAGAATAATATATTATAGAGTAAAGTGAATAAAAACACCCTTGAACTATTGTCATTTTGCAAATAATTCCTCGAATTACAAATTGTTTCCTTGAACTATTTATAACAATTAAAAACAAACCCATCACAAAAGACTATTTTACCCTCTCTTATTAAAATTTTTATTTCTTATTAAATTATTTTTATTATATTTTCTCTTATCTAAATATTAATTATACTAATCATCTTAATTTTATTTTACCCATCACAAAGGGAGGTCAGGGATTCATGCCTTGGTAGAAGCATGTGTGTGTAAGTACCAATTAAAAATAATAATAATAAATAGTTTAAGCATTTGATAAGTAAGCATTGGGACATTTTGTAACAAAAGGTGATAATTTAGGGAGTATTGTGCATAAAATATAATTTAAGGAGATTATTTGTAAATTAGAACATAAAATATAATTTAAGGAGATTATTTGTAAATTAGAACATAATTTAAGCAGTTTTTTTTATACTTTATCCTATATTATATTACATTTTATATAAAAAAAATGACAAAATTATCATTATATAAAATTTGATCAATAAATTTGCCAAAAATAAAACATCAGAGGTTTCTACTTTCATTGAGTACAGCTGACGGTGTATTCTTAGATAATTTGGTCAACCTCAAAATATATTGTTTTCAAAATGCGCGTAGAAATATAGTTTTTAATTTTTTTTAAAAAAAAACCTTGAATTTTCTGCGGCGCCGCTTGTTTTAATTTTTAAACTACAAGTCGATAAGACTAAAAAGGGCAAGTGGCAATTGGTCGTACCAATCCAAAGACACGTGTATATATTAGATATAGTTATTCTTATCCTCATCTCTCTATGTATATACGGAGTATCTTCTAAAGACAATTAGATGGGTAGCACTTGGGATATATTTGAGAGACACAGTCGTCATCTCTTGCTCTAAAAAATTAATTCACATTTTTCATACAAGCTGTTATATTTGATTAAATTTAATGGTTACTTTTCAAACTCATCTATATCCTTTTCTTTTAACACAAATCATTCTCACCTTATTTTTAATTTCTATATTTAATTTTATATTTAAATCATTCTCACCTTATTTTTAATTTCTATATTTAATTTTATATTTGATTAAATTTAATGGTTACTTTTCAAACTCACCTATATCCTTTTCTTTTAACCCAAACCATTCTCACCTTATTTTTAATTTCTATATTTAATTTTACCATTACTACTTACTATAGCAATAAAAGATAATTACCAAAATAAAAATTATACCAATATATATAACTAAAATCTTGTTGTGTATATATATACATATCATGTAAAGAAAATTAGATAAATAGCACTGGAAAAGGAAATCTTGTAGACCTTTTCTATTATTATTCAATTGATTCACACTAGGTATTTTTATTTTGAAATGCGAATAAGTATCATTCATATATTGTGAATGAATTTAAGTAACTATTTTTTTTTTGACCCGAATAAAGGGATAGAGAGTTTTTTATATTTTTTTATCAATATACCTTCACTTTATAAAATTATAAAAGGTATATATCTATTTAAATTTTTTTGAAAATATTAAACTTACAAATTGATATTTGTAAATAGTTATTAATTTTATCTCATCTCTTTCCCAAAACGAAATGGTTCATCCATCTCTCTTTAATCTTTCCCTCTAACCAAATATAGCATTAGTCTAAAACATACGTGGGCCATTCCTCATCCACATAAACTACATTGGAGGCAAGTATTATCCCCCGTTAATTTGTCAACCAAACAAAGAAATTTATTCACCCGCTTTATTTTCGAACCCACAGGAATGCAATATTATATAATAATTAGGTAGGACAAATCAAAACGGTTACAAATATGTGTGTGTATATATATGTTTGCATTATTCTAGTAGTATACTGTACCTTTCTGCTTCAGCAATTGTTTTGATCAACTTAGTTCCCAAATTGAAGGATGTGCATAACTTTGTTTGTTTGGCAAGCCCACCCTCTATACCCATTCCTTCTCTTGCTCAACAGAGATGAATACCACAACAGGCAAGTTTCATTATGTATTTTGGTTTCTTTATTTTTCTATTGGTAATGGGTTGTTTCTTAACAATGCTGTGTTTCACTGTTATTTGCCCACATATATATATATATATATATATATATGGACACACACACACACACACATATTGGGTGTCTAAATATTGTGTTGAATGCTTGTGTGTTGAAGGCCGACGAAGCCAGCAACATGGTGGGAATGTGGTGAGATATTGGGAGGGAAAGATGAGATTGGCGGTGGGACATGGTTGGCTTCTTCAAGAGGAGGCAGGGTTGCTTATGTCACTAATGTTTTGGAGCTTCATAACCTTCCTGTGGCGAAAAGCAGAGGTCACCTCCCTGTGCGTTTCTTAAAGGTATGTGTATCTATACACAAGCGTATATATTTCATGTCAGCATGGGCAGCTCGGCTAGTAAGGTCTTTGGGAGTACTTCCCTTGGGCTGCTGGTTCGAGCCTCACCCTCGGTGAGGCATAGGTATAAATGATGCACGCTGCGATTTGCATGCACATTAATTTTCTGAATATATGTATATGGTTGGTATGAACAGAGCAAAAAAAGTCCCAAAGAATTTGCTGAGGAAGTGGTAAAAGAGGCACATGAGTACAATGGATTTAACCTGATAGTTGCAGATCTTTCCTCCAAATCAATGCTTTATATTTCCAACAGACCAAAAGGGGAAGCTGTGTTGGTTGAGGAGGTTTCTCCTGGTATACATGTTCTCTCAAATGCAAAGCTCGACTCACCTTGGCACAAGGTTAGATACCCAAACTATTAACCTTAACTTGATTTCAAAACAAATTTCTATGCAACTTCTACATTTGCACACGCACGTGCGCCTGTGCCTGTGTGTGAACCTGCAAGGAACAATGTTGTGAGTACGTGCATGGAAAAAAAAAAACACACACACACACAAAATTTATTCAAGTATGCAGCATATAACTATCATAATCTCTTTTCTCTTTCAGTCTCAACGTCTGGAACTGAATTTTAAGCAACTGCTTGGTGAATATGGTGATGGTGAAATCCCCATAAGCGAGATGGTAAAAAAACTAATGAGAGACACAGTAAAAGCTGATAAAAGCAGGTTACCTCACATACATAATCCTGACTGGGAATTCAATCTAAGCTCCATATTTGTCAAAGTTGACACCCCATTGGTAAAAAAACTTCTACACTCTCTTTTAAGTATGTGTAGTTATATCCTTTTAACATTTGATTTCAATATTTGCATATATTTGGTGAATAGGGACGGTATGGAACCAGAAGCACTACAGCATTGACAGTAAAAGCTGGGGGAGAAGCAAGCTTCTATGAAATTTATCTAGAGAGTGCAAAATGGAAGGAGCATACACTCAAGTATCAGATTGAGAAACTGATCAAGTAGATACATACAGACATGTACGCGTGTGTGTGTGATACATACAGACATGCGCGCGCGCGCGTGCATACTTAAATTTATTTGCATATGTTTATCGATAGATAAATGTCTTTTGAGTTCTGTTTAATAGGATCAATATTTATCCCGTTGATCTTCATTGCAACCAAAGTGTAAACTTCTGCAGTTGTAATTCCTAAATTTATCATGCAATATGTACTGATTTACTATGATAGCTACAAAAAGATACTAAATCGAAAGTTGTAAGAACAATAAAACTATGGACAAATGTAATGCATGCACAATACAATATCACTACAGTGTTCTAATTGTACCATAGCCCACTGAATGAACGATTAAAAAAATATATATATAGGGGAAAAGAATGTAAAAGTTGTTGACAATATTTACACTGCTGCCACAAATCCTGAAAAGGAAAAAATTCTGCCGGTACAACTTAAACTATATATGGTGACCACTGGTCAGTTCTCCAGATTATGCAAAACCCTTATTGATGGTTGTATGCTTTCAGCACACCGGAATTGCCGTGCAAAGGAACATAGCTTTATTCATGTAGTTCTGTGTATGCTGCAACCCTATAGAAGTTTTTAAATTGCTGCACTTGTCCACCATATCTTGTCCTTCCTAGAGACATTTTTATTTGATGGAGCACCAAATGGCCCTTATATACCCAAACTAAGTCAATTGGTAAATAATCCTTTTGGAAATTACGAGCAAATGAGAAGTCATATTCCCCCAGCATCCGAGTGGAACTCGTAGTACATATGTAACAGGTAGCACCATCAGCAATTGATGGAAATTTCCTTCTGCTGCGTTGGCATCAAAACAGGCTATTGCAGCTTCCCTAGATGGGATAGCTTTACTGGATTTTTTAATACTGTACTCCTTGCCTTATTGTTACCTAATAAAACGACATGTGCACTGCTGAAAGGTTCACCTTTTTCAACTGCGAATCACCACTCTCTCACAGATATAGCGAACCAATCCTTCCTTGCAGATTTGGTTGCTTTAACTTCTATGTACTCCATGCTCTTTTCATTATCTCCTATGAGAATGTCGAAGGGGAGACCAGCTAGGCAAGCTGGTAGCCCATCCGAGATTGTAAATGGCTGGGTCGGGGTTCAAATAAAGATCATTTTTTAGATTGAATTTGTGATAACTGTGATCATAATTCAAATAAGCCACAACAGCTCACCTTTGGAGTGAGTTAGAGCCTTTGGGGCCTTTTGAGTGGACTAAGAATTGGATTTTACAAATTCGATCTGGAGAAATGCCAATTTCGAGTGTCCTGTTTGGGTTAGAACTGCAGCTTCCATCTTACCATGTAGTCCAAGAAATCAAATCATAGAATACAATACTGCTACCACAAATTCTGAACCAAGGCAAAAAATATATACGGTAATGACTTTCCTAAGAATCCAATTTTTTCATTCACAAATCCTAATGCAATAAATTATCAGTGTCTAGCAGTGATAAAGTATTTTTTGATAAAGAGAATAAAATAATGATACATACAATTAACCATGGTACGAGCATTCGAATCTCGGTGGAGGTAGGGTGTGTGCGTAATTGCTTTAACTTCCAAAAAAAAAAAAACACCAAACTGGCTACAAACATTATCATACTTAGAAGCTATGCATAAATATGTTTTCAAATGGAATATCCAACTAAAATTTCACTAAATCGTATAACTAGACAAAACTCAACTCAATATTGCAACTAATTGGGGCAGATTACATGAATCTTCATCATCTTACTCCATCTGTGGTCATGTATTTAACCACTCACTTCATATCTTTTAATCTCCTATGTTCGGAGTGTGCAGCAAGCTAAAAATTCTTAAAGCCAAATTCAAGATTTTGAACCAGAATGTTTATTGCAATATCACTGTTAGAGCTCAGGATGTCAAGTCTAAATTATTTGAGATATTTATATCAGGCCTTTCATCTCCAGAGTTTTCGAGGTACAATCCCAATTCTTTGCTCAGCCCATCACCAGAGGAGATCAAGAGAGCTGTTTTCAGTATTAAGGATGGCAAGGCTCCTGGCCCGGTCATGTATTTAAACACTCACTTCATATCTTTTACTCCCTGTCTCAATGCAAGTTACTTTCGGTCTTTCTCCTTGACCACCTAGTTACCCTTATGTTGGAGCATGTCATTCTTCCTCACTTTTGTAGTTAGTTATTGGCATAAGTTGCACAGAATCAAACCATTTAGTTCATGTTCTCTCATTTTTGTATCTAATGGTGCTAATTTCACTATCAAACAAATGGATACATCTCTATCCATCATTCCCTGTCTTACTATCTCAGCATCTATTTTTCAACCATACTTATTTTATGAATATTTTACAACCTCCCAACATTTTATCCCATTAAGTATGACTGGTCCAATAACCGTTTTATACTAGGTTGTTATGATCAATATCTCTAGATCAATCTCGAGGTCTATAGGATTGAATCAAAGATGGACATATCGTACATAACGACATGAAGGATATTTAAAATACAGAAACAACAATAATCCTAAAACACCATAAAACTAGAATTATTATTAAAAAAATATATGGTAAATGCATGAATACACAAACTTATCATAGTAAGGTTGTGAGAGTTTTGCATGGGGAGATTATGATTTGAATCCCTCTGAATATTAATTAAATATACCAATATAATTTGCTCGGGCTGAGAGTGTTTGGCTTTATTGAGATAATGTGCCATTAAACTAACCAAGGCAATTAATTTAGCAGAAATGGGAACATGCTAGTTGAGATATTGTTGCTCTTTTTCAATGTTTGCTTCTTGTAGTCTGTTCAGTCAGGCTGTGAGTGGTTTGCACTATGAGAAAGAGAATAATGTTCACTATGAATATTAGCTTGTTGTAACCTATACTCTGAGTGGGTTTGCTTTTGTTTTTTTCTGTTCTTTTGCACGCCTTGTTCATGGGTTTGTTTGGGCTCCTATAATTAAACCAAGATAATTTGCTCGGGCTGAGAGTGTTTGGCTTTATTGAGATAATGTACCATTAAACGAACCAAGACAATTAATTTAGCAGAAATGGGAACATGCTAGTTGAGAGATTGTTGTTCTTTTTCAATATTTGCTTGTTGTAGTCTGTTCACACGGGCTGTGAGTGGTTTGCACTATGAGAAAGAGAATATTGTTCACTATGAACATTAGCTTGTTGTAAACTATACTCTGAGTGGTTTTGCTTTTGTTTTTTTCTGGTCTTTTGCGCGCCTTGTTCATTGGTTTGTTTGGACTCCTATAAGATTGATCATTTTTCCGGTAATTGCGAACCAAAGAACCCCTAAATTCTATTTTTCTTGTTACAATCATCAATGTTTTATAATAACAAAACTAATTAAACAAACCAAGATGATTCTTTGAGGCAATTTTCCAAATACAAGTAACAAAATTTAATTAAACAAACCATTGACCAAGATGATTCTTTGAGGCAATTTTCCAAAAACCAATAACATATGATGTAATAACAAGAAGCAATACCTGTGACAAACAAAAGACATAGAACTAGTCCACTCTGCAAATAATTCCAAAATTCAAGGACAAAACCAAAGTGAAATTCCTTCACCTTGTTGGCGTACTCGAGCCTCAATTGTGACAGCTTCGCTATTTCGCCTCTTTTGGGGCTTTACAGGTGTTGATGAAGTCACTCAGGCGGTCGAAACTGGTGGTTGCGCTTGTGATCGCTGGGTTTTTGGTTGAACTGGATTGAGATCGGAGGGGTTGGGTGAAGAAGAGGGTTTTTAGGGTTTGTGAGGAGTGGAGAACGAACGAGGTAGAGAAATGGTACCGTTGATACGTCCAGAATCTAGAGAAAGAAAGGGGTAGGGGGTAGGTGGCAATTGGTCGTACCAATCCAAAGTAGACGTGTATTTTGAAGCTAATTACATTTTTATTTCCTAAGATTTGAACTTCAAAATAAGGGTAAAATGGTCAAATTAAAATTTCTATTCATAAAACACCAATACCATTTAATGAGTTTCAATAGTATAAGCGATCACTTAGCAACACACCAGCAAAAAAAAATTAATTGAAAATGACCTACCTATACGTCTCAAAATAATATAATAATTAGTTTGAATTTCAACAATTGCCGCCCTCATGAGTTATACACCTGTGTTGGGTACTAGAGTCATTATTTTCCTACTAAAGGTGCCCCACTAATTTCACAACAAACAAAGGAATTTATTGACCTTTTTTTAAATAAAAAAAAAGTATTTTTTTCAATTTCTTATTTTTGTGAACCACAAAAATGCAATATTGATTATAATTAGGCAGCCTTCCTGGTTAGTTGCTCTCTCTATATATAGTTGTCATGCACAAACACAAAGTGCGACAAACATATTGAAGGCTCTGCTGTTCATATGTGCACTATTCTAGTTGTCTACTTTAACTTTCAGCTTCAGCAATTATTTTCCAACTTTAATTGGTTTGATCCACTTATTAGTTCACAGATTTGCAGAATGTGTATAACTGTGTTTGTTTGGCAAGCCCACCCTCTCTACCCACTCCTCCTCTTGTTCAACAGAGATGAATACCACAATAGGCAAGTTTTATTATATTTCAACTTTGAATGTTTCTTGTTTTTTTTTTTTTTTGGGTGTCTGGTTTCTTAACTTTTCCTAGTGGTATTGGACTTTTTCTTTAACAATGGTTTGTTTGTTTGTTTCATTGTTATTATCCATAAGAAAAAAAGAACGAAAAAATAAAAAATAAAAAACTCTTTAGAAATTGGAAGAAATTTAATATGTTTAAATAAGAGCGGAATGTTTATTGTGTTGAATGTTTATGTTTTGAAGGCCGACGAAGCCGGCAATGTGGTGGCAATGTGGTGAGATAGTGGGAGGGAGAGATGAGATTGGAGGAGGGACATGGTTGGCTTCTTCAAGAGGAGGCAGAGTTGCTTGTCTCACTAATGTTATGGAGCTTCATAACCTTCCTCGGGCAAAGAGCAGAGGTCACCTCCCTCTGCGTTTCTTAAAGGTAGGTAGTGGTACATAATATATATACATTATAATATATATATGTGTGTGTGTGTGTGTGTGTTTTTTTTTTTTTTTGCTTATCAAATTCAGTTCATGAACTCTCATTATTTGATGTTGCGTTCATCATCAAGTAAGATATCAAACTTCGAACTCTATTCAAAGGGTTGAAATACAAATACATTTTGGTTATGTTTGACAATATAAAATTGAAGTCTTGAAATTGGAATTGGTGGAATTGAAAGAAAATTTTGGTTCAATTGTCTAAATTACTTTTCTCCAATTCCAATTCCAATTCTCCGATTCCATTCCAACCAAACATAGCCTACATTTTCTAAATAAGCTTCCAAGGATTAGTTGTTTGATGCTATGTTCGTATAAAATTCATTCTCTGTAATTCGAATCGGAGAAAAAACAGTTCAATATTGACTTTTCTTCAATTTCAATTCCAAAACACCAATTCTATACTACATAACATAAATTTGTTTTTAAAGTTAACAATAACAATTATTTTCACAAAAGATCAAATTTTCATCAATGGTTAAAATTAATGTGTGTGTGTGTGTATAATTTGCTGAATAATATATGTATATGGTTGGTATGAACAGAGCAAAAAAAATCCCAAAGAATTTGCAGAGGAAGTGGCAAAAAAGGCACACAAGTACAATGGATTTAATTTGATAGTTGCAGATCTTTCCTCCAAATCAATGGTTTATATCACCAACAGGTCAAAAGGGAAAACTGTGGTGGTTGAGGAGGTTTCTCCTGGTATACATGTTCTTGCAAACGCACGACTTGACTCACCTTGGCACAAGGTTTGAACCCCCAAATTATTAACATCCAACTTTATTTCAATCATTTTTACATTTGATTTCCTTAAATTGTTTTTTCATTGATAGAGTACTTGAACATACGATGCATACGTGAAACTCGAACCGATCACTTTCTCTTTTTCTCTTTTTTTCAAGAAGAATAATGCATACCACAAGAACTAATGACATGGGTTGATTGACCAGTTTTAATGTAAATGGACTATAAGGATACTTTTGATGATTAAGATGGTTTAATTTATCTAAAGCATATAAATAATAAAATTTAACTTTAATATTCAACTAACTCAACAAAGTTTATTGTCTTAATATTTAGAGTTACTTTAGCTACATGAATTCTATTTTTTCAACATAGTATCACTAAATATATATGTATATATATATATCTTAATAAAGTGCTAAAAAAAACCTGCTATATATAAAATGTGTAAATACTTATTGGTGTTTGAAAAACCTATATTTTTTCAAATTGAGCAAATGTGGACAATTCTTCAATTTGAAGGATGAAATACCAAAAATGCCCCAAAGACAACAAAAATAAAAGACACTGTTTTAATTTTTTTTGAATATTTATAAATATTTTGTGGTTTTTGTAACATTTTTTTGGACTTTGGTGTATTTTGGGAGTTTTGTTATAAAATTTTAAATTATAGAAATAACAGGGATGTTTTTCTGCACAATATATATATATATTTGCACTTTACCCTATATATACGTATAGTGAATTTAATGAGTGGGTGTATATAATTTATTCAAGCATGCAGCAAATAACAGTCCAAGTTTCTTTTCTCTTTCAGTCTCTACGTCTGGAACTGAAATTTAAGGAACTGCTTGATGAACATGGTGATGGTGAAATCCCTACAAGCGAGATGGTAGAAAAACTGATGAGAGACCCTGTCAAAGCTGATAAAACCATGTTGCCTCACATTCTCAATCTTAACTGGGAATTCAACCTAAGCTCCATATTTGTCGATGCTGTCGACACCCCATTGGTAAAAAAACTTCTTCTTCTGTATACTTCAAACTTTACATGGTCCGGGATGGTCACGGCCAATTACAACTCGAGCAAGCAAATGTGTCAATTTTATTCAGATTTTTACTTACGTGTCAGGTTACGATTGACTGAGACCATCTAATAATTTCTCGTACATATATCCTTTGATTTTGACGTATAGGGACGTTGTGGCACCAGAAGCACTACAGCATTGACAGTAAAAGCTGGCGGGGAAGTGAACTTCTATGAACTTTATCTGGAGAGTGAAAAATGGAAGGAGCATACATTCAACTACAGGATTCAGAAACTGATCAAGTAGATGACCAAAGATCACTGTTCTCGTACATATACATATATATAAATAAATACTTAAATTTATATGCACATATATATATATATATATATATATATATATATATATATATATTTATCAATCGATAAATCTCTTTTGAGTTAAGCTTAACAGGATATATATATATTATCCTGTTGATCTTCATTCCAACCAAAGGTGTAAACTGGTGCAGTTGTAATATATGATAAATCTCTTTTGAGTTAAGCTTAAAAGGATATATATATATATATTATCCTGTTGATCTTCATTCCAACCAAAGGTGTAAACTGGTGCAGTTGTAATATATGATAAATCTCTTTTGAGTTAAGCTTAAAAGGATATATATATATATATATATATATATTATCCTGTTGATCTTCATTCCAACCAAAGGTGTAAACTGGTGCAGTTGTAATATATATATATATATATATATATATATATATATATATATAAGGTTGGAATGAAGATCAACAGGATAATATATATATCAATCGACAAATCTCTTTTGAGTTAAGCTTAACAGGATATATATATATATTATCCTGTTGATCTTCATTCCAACCAATGGTGTAAACTGGTGCCGTTGTAATTCCTAAACTTTTGTACAATAAGTACCGGTTCATTGTTCATCTTGTAGACTTGCAGTATCATATATATATATATATATATATATATATATATAGAAAACATATTTATACATATGAATTATGATTGATAGTTGGCTGCCAAATTATCAGACAAGAAATCCTTGACCTGTTAAATTCTTCTACAAAAATGAGGTATCTAATACTTGTTTTCAAAGTTCACAAATACAATTTGAGGTCCCAAGAGGCATCTTGCAAACTTTCCAATAGTTGAGGGCCACAAATTTCAATCGAGGTGTACAACTTCCAAAATTATAAAATACAAGCAGACGTTTTAGAAATTAAGCAAAGAAAATTCTATATCAACATAAATTCTCCAGTATGCTAGCAAACCACAAACCCCACCAGACTCCCATTTCTCGAAGAGAGGTGGAGGCACACGAGTATCAATTAATAAAAAATAATAAAAAAAATTATAAAATTATAGAAGGGCATTTTGATCATATGTGAAGTAAGCAGGAGCACCTGGCACGTGCACGTGCTTCTTCCCGTTGGGGGCAAACTTAAGGAGAGGGAATAACTTAATGACTTTCACGAGGTTTATTCAATACAGAAGGGTAAGATGCATAAATTTCAACGGTTAAGGGGGGTTTTTATGATTTTATCCCTGAAAAACATACCAATTTAAAACCTGTACAAATAAGAAAAATGCGGACAAACATAATACAAAATCATGTATAACCATTCACTTCTGTTACTAAGTTTTTATATCCAAATGTACTTACCAAAAAAAAAAAAAAAAGTTTTTATATCTGAGGATGATACGGAACAGGACATTAAAAAACGCTTATGGCAATCTCCTTGGGCCATCTCTCTCGATGAATGAATTACAACAGAAAAAATAATATTTACATTCTCTATTGGAAAAAGTTAAAACTATATCGTGACCATAGGCTTCTGCACCAGTTATACATGGTACACAAATGGGGAGTGTATCAATATTATTTTCAGGTCAGTTCTCCAGATCATGCATAACCCTTATTAAGAAGTCGTCCTATAGTTTCACCGCACCGGAATTGCCCTTCAAGGAACATGGCTTTATTCATGTAGTCATGCGCGTATGCTGCAACCCTATAGAAGACATTGCATTGCTGCACTTGTCAACCATATCTCGTCCTTCCTAAAAATATCTTCATTCGATGGAGCACCAGATGGCCGTTATAATTTCAACGTCTAGTTTGAAGTCATAAATTCTGTCAACTGGTGAATGATCCTTTAAGAAATCATGAGGAAACCGAGCAGTCATATTCCTCCGGCATCCAAGTGAAGCTCCACAGAAGTACAAATAACAGGTAGCACCGTCAGGGATTGATGGAAATTTCCTTTTGCTGCTTTGGCATCAAAACAGCCAATTGCAGCTTCCCTTGCTGGAATAGTTTTACTGGGTTCTTGAATACTTTAATCTTTGCCGTATTGTTACCAAATAAAACAACATGTGCAATGCTGTAAGATTCACCTTTTTCAACTGCGAATTGCCACTCTCTCATAGATATGGCAAACCAATCCTTCCTTGCAGATTTGGTTGCTTTAACTTCTATGTATTCCATGCTCTTTTCATTATCCCCTACGACAACGTCAAAGGGTAGCCCGGTTTCATTATCTTTGTTTACCCATCTTACACTTGACCCGCCAACATTAGCAGCAAAGTAATTGAAAGCTACAGACTCTCCTAATCTCCCTGTTAACAATGTTTGCTGTGCATTGGGTGTGCCAAAAGATAGCTGTTCTCTCTGACCAAACTTCGATGTACTGGAGTTGGGTCCATCAGATGGTGTATTCAATGTGACATCCATATCAGAAGCAACCAGATTGTAAGCATGATAAGACTGCACTTCTAAAAATTCAGAATCTTGTAAACATGCTGCCATTGTGAGTGATGCTGAGTGACCTTCAGTGGTCGAATCAGCATTAATTTGTTCCATGTGATCTATCTGTGCAACAATTTCTTCAGAAACTTCCTCCATTCTCACCTGCAGGCCACTGCTTGGCTGCAGAACTGCTGCTTGTGTTGCTAATCCATTTGCACGAGCAAAACTAAAACCTGGTGCAGTTTTCCAGTCCACAGGTGGCCAGCTAGAGCTGATTCCTGGTCTTCTCTTAGATTTTGAAAACTTTTGCTCATTAATCATCGTTGAAGCACAACTTGTCAGGAATGCCTCGTCATTCTCTGTTAATGATGTCACAGATGAAAGGGACCAGACAGGTTCTTCATCAGGAAGTTTTGGAATCTTCTGACTATTTAAAATGAAAAATTCGGTCTGCTCCTCGTTGGAGCCTGATTCTGCCATGGTTGTGATCATGTGAAGAAAATTCGCCAAGTGTAGTTCAGGAGTTCCGTCAAATAATAAGCGAGAAAGCTCCATGAATACAGAGTGGGAATCTGATTCCTGAGTGGTGTACAAAACATAGCCCTGTAAATGTTAAAACAATAATGAAATGTTATTACACAGGTATAATATGGAAATACATGCCACTTTTGTTTCTCTAATTTCCATAACATTGACAAACAATGCTTCAATATAACCGGACAACATTCCACACCGACAAGTCACGAGTCAGTGCATCTTAATCCAACATGGCACAACTCCACAGCAACATATTTCAATCTCTCATTCTCTACTAGAGTCGCCAGGTTTTTTTTATTATATATCATAAAAATTGAAATCAGAAACATGAAAAAGGGAAAAGAGAGAAGGAATCTTCGTACTTATTAATGCATCATGTAATTCATGCCAACAATATTGTACCAAAAATGTAGCAATTCTAAGAACCCTACAAGTTCTCTAAGACATATGGTATTTAGATTTATCATCAAGGCAGCAACCATGTTGGATAGCCAAATATTGTCCAGCTTTTGGACCAAATATTTCCAGAGGTTTGCTTACCATACCGGCCCACGTCATCATTCAAAACTTCATGGCCCACTATTGACTAAATCATCTGGGCATTGAGGCCAAAGTGAGTAGGATCACCTAGCCAAGCTTCAAAATTGGAAAAACGAGCACCACAGAAATACATGCCACTAGCCAAATAAAGATGGAGAGTCGACCAAAATGGGCATGGATGAATAAATGCTAAACAAAAAAAGAGGAACAATCCAAGAATACCAGCAAGATTACACACCTGTAAAAGACAGCTACATTCAAATCGCTTCTTAGATGCAATGCCAGATTTTTTTATGACATTCCTATAAAACAACTTTCCAACAGCAACAACTCGCACATGACTCAGTTTCTCAAATCCAGACTGCTTGAGTTGAAAATATTTATTGGGATGTACATTGTAGATGTAGCGCTGAGCATAAGGAAGAGCCCAGTTCACCAATGAAGCTGTGAAACTACAGTCAGCTGGTCCATAATATATTGGTTCACGAGTTGTAAGCTGCAAGAACGCAATGTTATGGAAGGGAAGATGTTACTCAATTATTTTTTTCAATCCATATTTGTCTGAGAGAACGGCAAATATTGAGAGAGAGAGAGAGAGAGACTACCTCTGAAAGAGCAGGAATCTCTAAGGTTTGTATCAGACCAGATACCTTCAATCGAAGCATCTCTTTTTCACTGTCACTAAGTTCACCAAAGTAAAGAAAATCAATATTGTCCAAATGCTTAAATTCCTTTCTTAACTCATCATCATCACACCAGCATACAAGGCCAAATGATGCGTGTAGAGAAACCCATTTATCTTGTACAACGGGAAGCACTGTACATTCCAATTTTAGAATACACTCTTTCAAGTAAACAATATCATCAGAGCTCAGCAATCCAGATTTTAGTTCATCACTCCACCTTAGAAAAACTCGGAAAACCTGACATAAAATAAATAAATAAATGTATGGCAGGGAATCACTGATAACTCATAACCGCAACATATATTGCTTGCAATTTGGTTACTTACAGTGTGAGCAGCCTGTGAAGGCAATACAATAGTTGACAACTCCTGCAAAATCTGAAGGTAGCTACGAGAAGAAGGGATCTCGTTGACTCCACAATCATAGACAAAAAAGTCATGAAGGCCTGGATAAATGTTGCATAATGTTTTGCTTAAGGAACGATAAGTTGAACCTAAGCCAGAATGCGAATGGATTTCTGTCATTTGGTCAATACAACCAGTTGGATCATGCCAATATACTTCTTGAGGAGAGTAAAATACACCAGGTACAACATCCTCATGCCTAGAACCACATAAATATGGAACAAAAACAAAAGGTCCCAAACACAATTCCTCTGCAATTTTTTGCTTTGAAGTAGCCATTTCATTCCGCAAAAAGGTGTAAAATTTGGACATTTGTGCTATGCTGGCATAAGATTACAGATTAAAAAAAAGAAAAGAAAAAGTCAAGAGCCATTAAATGAGCCTGGTCATATCAAAATAATAAATTTCAGGACTTACATGGAAAATGCATAATTGTAAAATAGTATATTATTTTTGAAAAATAAACATTAAGAAAACAATAATAGTATAAGAAGTGCAGCATAGTTTGCAATCGTCATCATAAAAAGAAGAAACACACACAATATACATCATCAATGAAAACTATGCAATGCTTCGAAGGCAAAATCATGTGACAAGCTAAGAGACTCATGCAAGTGGCAGTAGCACATGTGAGAAACAAACAAACACAAAAACACGCAAGCATGTAATACACACAAGCACATGACCATTTACTTTAAAGTACAGAAACTACAAGGTGGAGATAATTAGATTAGTAAATGGGTCATGATCCAAAATAGCTGCCAAAAAGTCATGGAAATTACATTGCGTCATAGTGACTTCAAAATAAGCATTCAAATATTATAAACAAGACCTGGTTTTGATAGAGATCATGGTAAGATAATATTTAACAATATATTAAACAAAATGCCAGTGAAAGAAAAACAATAGAAATGTAATGTTTATGATATATATATATGTGTGTGTGTGTGTGTGTGTGTGTGTTGTAGAATTAATGTTAAAAAGAAAGGGAAAAAAAATCTCTTAGTGGTGGGACCCACCACCTTTTTGACTTTTGAATGATCAAGAGGCCATCCTTTTTGCCTCATTTCTTTCCATCATCTCTCGAGAGTCTCTCTCTCATTTTTCTTCCGTTTTTCTTTTTTCTTTCTATACAAACTTCAACTCTTGATTAATCTTCAACCGTTGGGAGTTTTTTGGTGCCGTTTGCGGCAAATCAGAGAGCACGGCGAGATCTACACGTTGACATAAGCAATTTCTCATTTGGTGCACTCTAGGGATTTCGAATTTTTGGACCCATTTGGGGGTTTTTGCATCTAAGTGAGGTAGGGGTGCTCTAATTCATGTTTTCTTTGATCTTTTGAGAATTTCCCCTCTAATTTGATTCTAAGCACGTTCAATTTTAACAATTTGGTCTATGTTGTTGTGGTTGTATGTAATTAAGTTGATGGATGTATTATATGCGTTAACTGAACTTATAATTATGATCATATATTTGGTGGTGAAGATACATGCTCAGTATTGACATTTTAGATGCTTCCATGATTTTTAATTGTTAAGAAAAGTGATGTAGAAATCATGAAAATAAATGTTAGGATTTCCCTTAATAATGTGATCATGATGTAGATGGAATGTATGGAAATTATTGTAAATTTTTCTTGAGAAATTGCCATGATGCTATATATATGATGTGTATATCTATGTGTGTTATGTGTAAATAATATATGTGTGTATGATTTGTTGATTGGATATGAAAATCATGCTTTTGTGATCATGTCCTTATTTAATATGTGTAATTGTAGAAATTTTGTTGACTTAAAGCATGCTACAAATTCATGAGAAAATTCTTCTTTAGTATGAAATGTTATTAAGGTTTGATGATGTGAAGATTATGGTAATTTGTGAAGCATGAAGCATTCATGCATCCATTGGGAGAGAAAAAAGGGAAAAGTATTTTTTTAAAACCAATAAAATTGTTTTGGGGAAACGTTTTTGAAAGTGTTTGTGAAAACCAGACGCCTAGGAAGCGCATAGTAGTCCGTGGTGTTAGTGTGGTCTAACAGGGAGTATGATTGAGCTAACTAGGCCGGATGCGGCGCCTTGGAGGTGCCTTGTGGTCATGGATAGTTAGTCAACCCTCCATTCATGACGCCTTAGAGGTGCCTTGGGTCGGATTACACTAACGGTTTGGAAGTTGAAACGGTATTGTTTCGGAAATGGGGAGCGACATTGCATGGCATGGCATTGCATTGGCATACATTGTATATTTGGTGGTTAGACGACTTGCGTACATATTTGTTGATTATTATCGTTACTTTGCTTGTTTTCCTCGAGATATAATCCCATTCTCTCGTATCCTATTCATTGTATGGATTCACGGGGTCGTAAGATGTGTGTCTTTGACGCTTCCTATTGAGCTTTATGCTCACACCATCATTTTAACATTTTTCAGGTTACGGGAAGGAAGTGGCGAATGACATTCCTCCATAGGTTTGAATGGGTTAGTGGACTGTTTTATTATCTTTTATATTTGTGATTTCATTTGTTTTGTATAAGTTTTGGGATGGCACGTACATTATGTATCGGCCTTAGAACTTACCATAGTGCCTTTAGATGACCTCGGGTTCGGGTAAGAACCCGGTTAGCGATTTGAACCCTCGGGTTCAGGTCGTTACAAGAAAGATAATGGATTTTTTTTTTCAAGTGCTGGTGATGTATAGGTTTTATAAAAATTAAATACCATACCTCGGAAGTAACAACATAAGGTAGGCCCCAAAAACCCAAGAACTGATAAACACTAGAAAATCCATTTAATCAAGAAAGAAAATTTCAACAAAAGATAGTACTAGTTTTTTTTTTATAAGTAAAGATTGTATAAAGATGCGCTCAAAAGGGGAACGCATCCCTCAGAAAATACACAAGGCCTAATAGGGCCTCTAAACTCTCAGTGTGTCCAAAAAATCAATTACCTCCTCCACGGATTTACAAGCTCCCTATAACCCAACAAAAAAGAGTGCTAATAATAAAGAACTTAAACTCCCCCATAGGAGTCTCCTTTCCTTCGAAGGACCTCCTATTTCTTTCATGCCAAAAACACCACCAAATGCAAAGAGGCGTAACCAACCCTCCAAATATAACAGACTTGGGTCCACACTATACAACCTCACCAAGCCTCAATCAAATTTATGGGGGATCTAGGCATAACCCACTGAACCCCAAACAAACTCAACAGCAAGACCCAGCAATCCCAAGCCACAGGGCAATGCAAAAGAAGGTGATCAACCGTTTCCCCATCTCCCTTACACATGTAACACCAATTGACCACTACCTGTCTTGCTTGATATTCTTCATCATTTTCATCTTCAATCACACTGTAGAACTATTTCAAACAAACAGCGTCTTATTCTTAATCCTTTTTCTCCCCTTTAACATATAGAATGTAACTTTAGTAAAACTAGGAATACAAGCGGGGATGCAATGAAGATCGAAGATCAAGAATTAGCAACTAAAAAAATAAATGAACATGTCGTTACCTAGACTAGATTATTCATTGAGAGAGAGCGGAGAGAGAGAAGGGTGGGGAGGGAGGGAGAATTGAAGTAACGTACTTTGAGATACAATAACAGAATCTATTGAGGGGTGACGTGATCCACATTGAGAGAGAACAAAAAACAGCATGGTTTGACATATGTAAAGAAAGATAAGATATAACATAAATTAACTAAGAATAACGCTACAAAATAAGCGACAAAATCCTACAGCTTTTGATGTTATTACTTTTGCAGGAGCTAAGATGTCATTCCTTGTGGTAACCACTGGAATGTTACAGATCAAACACGAGGGTCATAGCTTATTCAACTTGCCGTCAATTAGGCCGCCCAATTCGGTTTGGAGTCTTAGGGTTAAGGAGGTTGTTGCCTTTTAATAAAGCTCTCCTTGGTAAATGGCTCTGGAGGTTTGGGATCGAGAGGCATTGGTTATGGAGGAGAGTTTTTGCTAGAAAATTTGGGGAAAGTCGTGGTGGGCGGTGCTCTCTGGCGATGCGTGGTCCAAGGGGGGCGGGAGTTTGGCATTTCATTCGGAGGGGTTGGGATGACTTCTGCAAGCATGTTCGTTTTCGTATTAAAGATGGAAGGAGAATCAGTTTTTGGAAGGATCTCTGGTGTGGAGAACTCCCTCTTGCTCTTGCTTTCCCACGGCTCTATAGGATTGCTTCTCACCGACAGGCCATGGTTGCTAACTGTTATCATTTTGATAACGGGAGACTGTCTTGGGATGTTCAGTTCAGGAGGCATTTTCAGGATTGGGAGATCGAGAATATTTCTCGTTTTTTGGAGCTGTTGTATAGCCAGGTGATTTCTTTTGGGGAGCCGGATTGGTGGTTCTGGATTCCTAACTCGTAAGGCCATTTTGAGGTTAGGTCCTTTTTCAGATGCCTTTCAGTTGGTCACGGAGAACCCTTCCCTTGGAAGTCTATTTGGCAGTCCAAGGCTCCCCGCAAGGTCGCTTTTTTTGCTTGGACCTCTGTCCTGGGTAAGATTTTAACCCAAGATAATCTGAGGAGGAGGAATCAGGTGGTGGTCAATCATTGTTACATGTGTTTGTGTAATGAGGAGTCAGTTGATCACCTCCTTTTACATTGTAGCATGGCCAGAGATTGTTGGGATTTGATGCTTCGATTATTTGGGATCCATTGGGCCATGCCTTATTCCTCTAAAGGGTTGATTGAGGCTTGGAGAGGCGTCTGTTGGGGCTGGCATTAAGGACGCCTGGAGGGCTACGCTGCTTTGTATCTGGTGGTGTATTTGGCTTGAAAGAAATAGGAGATATTTTGACGGAAAAAAGAAGCCTGTTTCTATGCTTAAGTTCTCTGTTATTTCTACTCTTTTTTGTTGGATTTCAGGGAGAGATTATAGATCTATGGAGGAAATTATTATTTTCTTGGCCTCTCTGAAGGTCTAAGGCGCCCTTTGGCCCTTTTGTTTCTTTGGGCTTCGCTCCTCTTTTGAGCGTTTTTAATAAATTCTTACTCATCAAAAAAAAAAAATTAGGCTATAATAGTAGTTGAGATATTAAGGAAAGATAAGATAGTTCAATACCATTGAAATTATTGCCTTAAGAAAAGCAGGACAACAACTCAAACATATTAGATTTCGACTCAGGGATGGTAAGAGGATCAGTTTCTGGGCGAACATTTGGTGTGGAGATCGTTCTCTTGTTCTCGTTTTCCCACGGCTCTTCAGGATTGCCACGGATAGGCAAGCCATGGCGGTCAACTGTTATCATCTTGATAGTGGGAGATCGTTTTGGGATGTTCGTTTCACGAGGCAGTTTTAAGATTGGGAAATTGAGGATGCCATTGGTTTTTTGGAGTTGTTGCATCGCTAGGAGATCACGATCGGAGATTCTGATGACTGGATTTGGGTCCCTGCCTCTCAGGGGCATTTTGATGTTCGGTCCTTCTTTAGGTGTCTCACGGAGGGGCCTGGAGATCCTTGCCCATGAACACTATTTGGCGTTCCAAGGCTCCCCTCAAGGTGGTATTCTTTGCTTGGACCTCTATCTTGGGGAAGATTTTGACTCAGGATAATTTGAGGAGAAGGAATCAAGTGGTGGTCAACTGTTATTACATGTGCCTATGTGATGAGGAGACAGTGGATCACCATCTTTTGCATTGCACCATGGCCAGGGCCTGTTAGGATTTGATGCTTGGTTTGTTTGGGATTCATTGGGTTATCCCTAGATCCTCCAGAGGGTTGATTGAGGCTTGGAGAGGTTATACAGTGGGGGTACATATTTGGGATGCTTGGAGGGCTACGCCTCTGTGCGTTTGGTGGTGTATTTGGCTCGAGAGGAATAGGAGATATTTTGAAGGAAAGAAGATGCCTATTTCTATGCTAAAATTCTCTATTATTTTTACTCTTTTTGGTTGGGGTTGAGGGAGAAATTATAAATCTTTAGAGGAGATTGTTGATTATTTGGCCTCTTTGAAGGCTTAGAGGCTCTTTTTGGCTTTGTGTAGTTTTCTCTTGGGCTTCACTCCCATTTTGAGCGCTTTTATACAATCAAAAAACAAAAAAAAAAAAAAAAAAAGAAAAAAAAGAAAAAGAAAAAAAAAGCAGGACAAGAAGATTTGTGTATCTGATCCCAACTAATTCAGAAAAAAGGCTTTATTAAGTTGAGATTGTAGTTTAATTCGAGTAGTTTAGGTTAAAAATGGAGTATATAAAACTTAAAGTATGTTTTTGTTGACTTTTCAACAATTTAATAATCTATTCAGGAATGGACAAACACTAATTTTTTATTGAGTTGGATGTAGTTGAATTTGAGTAGTGTAAGTAATGTAGGACAAGAAGTGCACTGATACCAAATAATTTTTTATTGAGTTGGATGTAGTTGAATTTGAGTAGTGTAAGTAATGTAGGACAAGAAGTGCACTGATACCAAATTGATGCAGGACCAAGAAAAAAGAAGATAAAGAGATAGAAGAGAAGAAGAATAGGAAGAAGAGGAGGTATATAGAGGAAGAAATCTGTATTTCAATGCTCAATATTATCAATCAATTATCAAAAACTAATCATCTCAATGTGCCAACTGCTACATATATAGGCAACTAAAATAAGACTATTATAAAACCCTACTACCAAAAATAACAATTCTAAGGAAATCTCAACAACAATATAATCTCAAAAAAAAAAATCCCAACAATAATAAAATATAAATAAATCCCGAAGGCCTATGCCTATAATAACTATGTAGAGAACAATGCACACGGGGTTCACCATGATTTTCATCAAAACATTAATGTTAGCACCTTTATAAGTAATAATCTATTTCTCTCCAAGAAACTTGGCTATGACATAGCAGTAACAACGATATTTTCCCATCACAATCCTAACTAGACCAAAATGGACTAAATTTATAAGAAGAGAATATATAACCACACTACATCTTAAATGAAAATAAAAATTTCCAGGCTTCAAAAAATAGTTCATGTGTGAAAATATAACTGCCCACAAAATAAGCTTCTTTAATAACTTTAGCCAACCGGAGAAAAAGGTCTCCACTAACGAATCCATCTTGCATTCAGAAAATGAAATAACATGGCAAAGTTAAGAACATTCATTATATAATAATAAAAAGAGGAAGAAATGGTACCTAGCTTTAAAAGGAGTCTCAGATCTTCTCCAAACTTGAAGAACAGCCAAAATGTCATCAAGGTTAATTTGAGTCTTAAACCCGATATCACCCAAAAACTTTTTGCTTCTTACCTGTTTCAATAAGAAATGAGTAGGTAACATCAGCTAATTCACCCAATTCAAAGTGCAACCAGTTGTTCCATAGGCTGAACTCATAATCACAGGGGACATGCCAACTAATGTAGGTTGTCAGCTATGCAATAGGCAATGAAACAATATCCATATCAATTATCATGTGATCATCATCCTGAATGTGGTCAGCAATGACAGTCATATTTTGGATCTAATGTACATGAATGATATTAATTGCAATCATTTCAGAAAAATAACAGAAAACTGACACCAACCATTGAGAAAAGTTTACAAAGCATTAGTATAAACTTCAATGAATAACATTTAGTCTGAGTAATGCAAATAATTTAGGCAATCAATACACCATCAAGATCTCAATGGTTTTCAAGATCAAGAGATATTGAACAAAAACAAAATAAGTATTCCACTCATTTTAATGAAAATCCATACATCTAGGCCATCTATCCTTCTCTGTCAAGTTACTCTTGAAAGAGCTTTTTTTATCCGTAAAACGTACCCCATAATTTTTATTTATATTTTAAGCTCAAGTTAAAAAAATGATGCAATTTTACCATTGAAATAAGTCCATTCATAATGATTTACATACCTAAAAGTAACATAATATGGAATCATGCAGCATTGAATATATACATACCTACACCTAAGTCCCTTGTCTAAGGCTCTTAAAGGACAAACAACTTTTCTTTTCCTTTTTTTCAAAATAAAGAACGATGGGTCCATTATATATGTATATATATGCATTTAATCAATATGGGATAAAGGCAAGGATGATGATGATATATATGCATGTGAATAAAATATAATTTTTTAATATATTTATTATTACATTTAGATATATCAACATATAATATATACACCCAGGGCTGCAAATGAACTAACTCTGACTCGCTAGGCTCATGAACAAGCTTGCACACTAGATGGTACATTATACTTGAAATTCTTACAGTTTAGCTCATTTGATTTAAGTTTAGCCCAAACTCACATATGTTTCATAGGCCCAATTAGTTCTTTAATCTTTGTAAGTTTATCCTACAAATAAAGTCCATTAATCATTAGGCCATCAACCCATATATGACTATATATCAGCTGTTGGATTGCTTATAATAATAAAATAAATAAGATGAGAACCCCTAACATAGAACAACCGCAACAATTCTTCTACACTGCGCAACCACTCTCCAACGCATCCTCAAGAGTCTAAGTACCAACTGCAAGGTTATTTCATACCTCTCTCTCTCTCTCTCTCTCTCTCATTTGGAATCATGCGGCATTGAGTTGCATGAGCATGAAGATTGGAAGTTAGCGAAGGAGACGATTTCTTGCATTTTAAAAAAAGATAGTATGTAGATTTTTATTTTTTTAGATTTGATTCCTTAGGTTTGTATATGACTTGAGCCAAGCCAAGCTTGCTAAAATACTACCTCGCAGAGCTCAAGCTTGGCTAGGCCAAGCTCACATGAGCATGAGCCAAGCCCGAGTACCTTTCTCTGCTCTGGTGAGAAGCCTAGACCACCCAAAACATGTCTGATTCGGCCCAGCTTAACTTGGTTCACTGTTGCCCTATATCTACCAATTATGTCTTGCAAACATTACTAGTGTCTTAAGATTTTTAATTCCTTAGGTTCTTACTTCTCTCTAACTTTGTTTTGTTTTTTGTTTTGTTTTTTCAACAACATGAGCAAAATTGCATTAAATGGAGTTCACTCCCACGAGTGTTTTTTAAGGCTTTCTTTCTGGGATAAATTGTTTAATTATAACAAATGGTTTGGAATGCTGGCCCTTTTCCAGTGTCGTCCACATTGTCTCAAAATTTTCAGACACAAAATTTTCAATTCCTTAGGTTATTACTTCTCTCTAACTTTGCTTTGTTTTTCAACATGAGTAAAATTGCATCAAATGGAGTTCACTCCTACGAGTGCTTTTTCCAGGCTTTCTTTCTGGGATAAATTGTTTAAATATCACAAAAGTTTTGGAACGCTAGCCCTCATTCACATAATAGACTAAAGATAGAGCACAAGCTTGTTTTATAGCAATAGGAATTTATCATTGTTAAACAAGCAGATAAGAATCAGTTCTACTTTTAACGAGTTGTGTCCACCTTTCGCCTATCTTTTTTTTCAGTAAGTAAATATTTTATAGAAAGACGTCCATCTTTCAATCATTGGTGGCATAGCAATGCTCCCAGTTTCATATGTAACTTACAAATTGTCCTCTTGCGCTCATGTTTTCTCTCTGGGTTCATAAAGTTGCATGGGGTTACAAATGGTCCTCTTGCGCTCATATTTTCTCTCTGGGTTCATAAAGTTGCATGGGGAGGAGAAATGTGGTCTCCAAAATGCAACTGAATAACAACAATACCTAAAACTCTACAGCAAATTTAAAAACTCAAGAAAAGGGCATGTTTTGACATAAAAAAAAAAAAAAAACTGTAACAACAAATTCGCAATGTAACCTCCCCATTGTGGTCCAATTCCTGCTTCATTTTGTTACTAAAAACGGAGGAGGAAATTCAGTAGGCGCATGGATAGAAAGAAGGTTGCAGGATTGTTCAAAATTCCTTCGCAACTTCCTGGACATTCATACTTTGTTGAGCCTGATACATAAACTGTCTACTCACTCACAAGCTTGGGTATGAAACAAGCAAGTCATTTAGCAAGCTACTACTATTTGTCCGAGCTCAGTGAGCAGGAAGCAAGAGTTTGCACTCATGACACAAGACAAGGTTCAGAAAGGGTCGGTCACTAACGTTTTAACTTAAGAGCACCACAGAGAAAAAATGACGGAAATACTCTGAAGTGCACAACATTCTATTCTTACCTCTGGATAGCTTTTTGAAAAGCAAAAATAGGATAAATTCGGTGCTTTGATTGCTTTTATTAAGTCGCCATTTTTCATTTGTGCAACCATTTTTTCTCTTTAAAATATGAAAATGAAGTTATTACAATCCACAGAAAAATATATACAAAGGGTGTGCACTTGATAAAGGCTAGTCTTACATTCATATATCAGCTCCGTTGTGGTTAATTCGTTTCATCCATAGATGGACCAGGTTCTAATCATACAAGCTATGATTCTTTTGGCCTAACCCAGCATTGCCATTGATATTTGGGAAACACGTGATTACCCACGCCCAAAATTCATTCCCCAAAAAAATTACAAGGCTCCCAATAAAAAATGTGAAAAATTGAAGACACAAGGCAGAAGCTTATATTATCAGTAGATTACAGAACAAGCACATAGAAAATATTATAACAATTTAAGGGTAATGGAAGAGAGAGGCAAATTCTTTAACATAAAAAAGGCCATTGGAACAAGAAGGAAGTCATTAATGATCTAAAGACAACACCGTTTAATAAGTTAACTCTTACCACTTTTATCTACAATTACAATATGTTTCTCTTCCAAACCAGAATAAAATATAAAATTAAATGACCGGTATCTTAGTGAGTTTTAAAGTATAATGGATGCAAGAAATGAAAGCCTTCTGCCAAGCCGTTGCCCAAATAATATATTTATAAGCCACCTATGCAATAAATTAAACACTTTAAATTGACTATCATTGTAACTAAAAAATTAAGCACTTCAAATTGAATATCATTGTACTTAAGAGCCTTCACTAATGAAAATACAGTTAATTCAAAGAAGATAATAAAAAGGAACTCAAACTAAAACCCAGCTCAGAAAAGCCATTTCCAAGCTATTTGGGATTCCAAATTCGCCATATGGTTCTATAACCACATGCTATCATATTTTCCATACTATAATCCATGTAAGTTTTGCCCAAGCATCTCCCATATATTGGCCACAATACACCTCAATGATGCAATTATCGGTTTTCGCTACACATGGACAAACCATCATATACTCGGTTTTCTCTCATTTTATCTCCAATTAATAAGGGGAAAAAAATGGGAGGTACTGGTTGAGAAAAAAAAAAAAAACTATTTCCATTCAAAAGGATCCAAATGAGAACAATTAGATAAAAAGAAATAAAACAAAATAAGAACGAATATACAGGCAACAAATATGATTTATAAGAAGGCATTAGGCTAAAATAAATGCTCTAGTAGTAAATTATGGAGCATTTCAAGTGTATGAATTCCTCAAACCAACCTTTGGAACTGCATATGGAACAGTAGCACCTAGAATTGAGCGGACTGCATCACAATCGTAGAATAAATCTTTAGGATAGTGAAGTTCTTCATTTATACTCGACGACACCCACCGATAATCGAAGAGGCTACTTATGAATGAAGATTTGAACGATCTGCTATCCCCAGTAGAATTAAGATTGCAGTAACCAGTAACTTTATCACAAAAACAATCATCCCATAGTGTGTCAAGCAACTCCAAGAGGTATTTAGACCTTATCCGGTCACCACTTGAGGACAATCGGGATAACAACTGAATCAATTCTTGTGATTCCCAGTCCTTGGCAATTGACCCAGGGGAAATCATGTCCCAATCCAACATCATTTTCTTCACATTAGCATGAGATATATCAGTAATACTCTTCTCAGTTAAAGCAACATGCACAAAATCCACGATGCCTAATTCCTGGAAGAATTGCCTCCACTTCATCATCCCACCAGAAAGTGATTTGATAGTCGGATGTGTCAAGTAGGACACATCAACCTCATGCCATTTCAAATCCATGCCATCAACCAACTTATTTACTTCAACAGGATTCCCAAATGCTTTATTGAAATGAATTGGGACTTCAGCAGGTCGTTTATAACCATGATTTGTCAAAATAAGAGCTTTATTATGCAACTCTGAGATTATGTACCCCCTTTCAACACGACAGTCGGGGCAAATTGATTGTAGGTGGAACATTACAAAGTAGAGGTATTCTATCATCAAAGTTTTATCCCCTATTGCCATTCTGTCATTAGAAATCGCTGGCAAGATGTGCATCTTTACAATTTCATGTGCAGACAATCGTTGAATACCAACTAGATGAAGCATCCTTGTAAGGTTATCCACCACTGACACGTCATAGCATGAGACATCAACAGCCGCAGCACCAGCAAAAAGGGAAGGACTTACTGTCCGAAGTTTACCATACAACTTTGGGAAAGCTTTCAGACCATGCTCATTATCTAACACCGTGTCCAAAGCATCTGAAGGTAACCAAATTGTACCTTCATTAACTGAACCATAAGTACCATCTGAAAGAGGAATGAACGGAATTTTTTTAAGGTTATTTATAAGATCTACCTCCGTCCCAGAATTCAGGGATGTTTGCATTGAAGAACGATATAACATTGTATAGAGAGTATTGAGCCAAGAGGACAACCAAACAAGGCCAACTGATTTGAGACCATTCTCCGTATGACACAAGCAAGACAGAATTTGAAGTAGGATTTTGGGTCCATACTCCTCAATACCTAGTGCCCTCGCTAATGAATCAGATAGAACTATATCTTTATCCAGTAATCCAAGGCCAAGGTGCTCTTGAAGCAAGCTATCGGGCAAAAGGGTGCGAGCTTGCTCATTCCAATTTCTTAGAACTTTGCATGGAGGGACCCATTCGTGATTATCCCCTTCCAAAAGCAAGCAGTTTGACATGCGTAATTTAGAAATAATCATTCGGGGAAGACTAGAGAAAAATCCATGCACCTCCCCTACAAGGGGAACAAAACTCATAAAAGCTGCCACAGCCTTTCCTGGATTCTCCCTATAACAGGAAAGGGCACAAAATGATCTCTCTGCACTAACAAACAAATCAGGGAACTGTGACAGTAACCACTGGTTCCACGGACTATTTCCATCAACTTCTTCTCTAGACGAAGGAAGAACAAAATCACCTTGGAGGATAAATTTTAAACCATATGTTCTTAGGGGAAGAAAAGCAAAAACAGGCTGTTGTTCCAGATGTGGGATGTAACCTCCATTGCCTGATTCCTGTAGTGTAAATGCAACTGAAATTTCTGTTGTTTGCACATCAGGACGGATCACATCAGCTTGCAACTTTTGAGATGCTACAAACCAAGTCATTTTCTCATTCCCAATGGAAACCTTTGTAATACCATCCCCCATAATTTCTTTCCTCATGACAATGAGTGTATCATCAAGCATGTTTCTAAACTTAATACAATGAAGGCGGTGAAGAAAAAGTAATAAAGATGGATGGAGATCTGAAAACATAGACACAATGCTGGTCATAGCAGAACCTTCTGATAATTTTGATTTGAAAGGAAGAACAACGCAAGTACTCCAACAATTAGTATCCATTTGATCAATGTTGGCAGATGCCAGCCTTCCAAACAAATCAATATCACAAGGAGGTATAACTGTTGGCAAAACAAAACCAATCTGACCTTCACTTATATCAAACTTCACATGAAACCCGTTGGAGTGAATTTCTGGAGCATCTGTCACCTGCAGAAAGACCAAATTTTTTTGATGAGAACAGAATATTAATAGAATACAACCAAGCATGAAATCATACTAGAACAATGAACAACTTTAGTACGCTTCTGTCTGTTTCTGTCAATTTATATAGGGAAACTATCTATTAATCCAAGGATATATGTTATTTGCAACTATTCCAACCATTTAATTCATCATTCAAAATATAATGAAGTTCAGGCAGAAAGATGAATTCCACAATTCAACATTGTTCCCACAACAAATATAAGAAATGAAATGGCAAAATGAGAAATTGTGCAGTTTTACTCTCTAATATATTTTTGCTTAGAGAGAGAGAGAAAGAATTGTACAGTTTTACCAAATGTAAAGCGAATAGCTAATAAGACTTAAAAGATCATAGGGGCCAGGAATTGTCAGGTTGTTAGTATGTGAAGGCAGGGATAGGAGGAGCCTCGGAGGTATTCTAGTAGTCTACCTCTTCGCCTGCTTTCACTTGAGGGAAGCAACATTAGATGCTTTTTCATAGGCCACTAAAAGCATTCTAACTTTAGTAAAATGCTCGGACTTTCAAGCAAGAGAATGCAAGATCAAATACTGAGAATAAACACTTTACATAAATAATGTCAAAAGGTTAGGCATGTGTCTAGTTCACCTTCCCAGCACCCTCGGTTAACGAGGATCACATTGCAGAACGACCCATTTTCACATAAAGAACAAGCTTGAGACTAAATAAAAATTAAGACAAATACTTCCAAAGTTGTTGCTAATAATTTTAGACCAAATTAGTCCCCAAACAAACACAACTTATTAGTATAAGAAATGGTTAATTTACAATTAACTACCTAAGGTAACATGTGACAATATTACATGTAAAACATAACATAAAAAATTCGCAAATCACCAACTATAAATGATCAGGATTGCATGAAAATAATTAATTTGCAATTGAATATAATTTTATTAAAAAACGGACCAGTTAGCTATAACATACATTGTACCCCGAGTCAATATAAAAAATAAAGACCAATAATGATGTATTTTGAGAATCCATCAGACAAGAGTCACGAGATATATATTAGTTTGCATACTGAGTTCTACAGAGAATGAAATAGTAGTACATGGCTTGAAAATGTATTCAAATAAAATTTTGTAACCTCTTTAATTACATTACAAAGAAAAAAAGAAGAAGAAAGAAACCAACAAGAAAGAAACCAACACCTACTGGTCAAAATGAGTCTGAACGGCTTGATTTAGTTGTTAAATTAGTAGACTAGTCAATACTTATAAAAAAAAAATAGTAGACTAGTCAAATCAAAAGGTCATTGCAAAGTTGAAACGATAAAAATATTTTGAAAAAAATCATCTTAATTAGGACATGTAAGAGGGTCTCTTCATTTTACAATACTATTTGGCCTTGGGTACTAACTCCTCACTTTTGAAAGGGGACACAAGAATAATGTTAAAAGAATGCATTATATAATTGATAAAATATGAGCAAAGCAGAGATCTGATTAGTACTGCAATCTAATAAGGATTGCTCGGTATATTCAAATCATAAAACTACAGGATTGTAGGATTCAGATGGGATTTGAACAAAAAATGACGATGGGGAGGAGGATAACGAGATAGAGCATGCTATAAACTTTGCCTGATCAAGCTTAAGGTTGAATAAGTTTCTTTTTTATGTAAATTTAAAATGATATGCGGCTAAAATAGTTTTATTCATGTTTTTAAATGTTTTGGGAGTTCATGGTATTTCTAAATTGGTAGAAGATGTCCTGTAGCAGTAATATTCAAGAGATTTATTGAATCGCAGAATAGGTCAAAATTAGACATTTAAGATTTGCTCTTAATGGTCAAGTTACTCAATTTTTTTTTGAGAAACTGACGAGAATAAGAATATCTGAAAAAACACAAAAAATAAAAATGAAAATAGTCAAGGTATTTTGTTTTTTTATTTTTCATTTTCTCTCCTGTATGTTTCTTTATTTTTTGTCAAATCCGTAACAAAAAGGGGGAGAAATGGTTGAAACATGAGATGTTACATTAATGGGCATAGATGTGTTAAATGTGTTTTGAGCCATATGTTTTTATAAAGCTTTGTTACTACTTCATTGCTTCATATATCAAGTTTATATTTTTTATTTCAGTATTATGCTTGGGTATGTTTGTCAGGTTTGAAATGTGTGGGCAACAGAGCGTAGTTTAAAGTTGATCAAGATCTAGTTGATTGGGTCATTTTATTTATTTCTTTTCATGTGCATGTAGGGGTGAATGGGTTTCGCTTGAGTTTGTATTTCTTATTTATGTACTGTTTTATTTTTTAGTTTTCATTTGTGGAATTTCCAAAGGGGGAGATTGCTAGGAATGAGAGTTGTGTGTTGCCAATTCCTTACTCAGAACTTGGAATGTAGTGTATTACAACCACGGAAATTGAGAGACATGAAAATCAGGCGAAATATTGCCGTTGATAGACATGTCTTGTTTGCTGACTGTTATCGGCAGGTTTTCTTGGCATGTGCGCTTTCATCGAAATTTCCAAGACTGGGAACTAGATGACATTTCTGGGTTACTGGATCTATTGTATAGACAGGAGGTGGATTGTGGAGGTTTCGACTCCCTTTTCTGGGTGCCCTCTCCCCAGGGTAGATTTGATGTACATTCCACGTTTTGTTACCTTCCCGGATTCTCAGGGGTTGATTTCCCTTGGAAGATGGTTTGACGCTCAAAGGCTCCACTCAAAGTGGCATTTTTCTTTTGGACCGCAGTTTAGGGTAAGATTTTGACGCTTAATAACTTGAGAAGGAGAAGGCAGGTTACTGAATTGGTGTTGCATGTGTAAGAAGGATGGTGAGTCGGTGGATCATCTCCTTTTGCATTGCCCCGTGGCTCACAATTGTTGGAGTCTTATTTTTGGCTTGTTTGGCGTTCAGTGGGTTATGCCACGGTCTTCGAGAGGATTGATTGACGCTTGGAGAGGTTGTTCTGTGGGATCCCATGCCCGTGATGGTTGGAGGGCGGCACACTTTTGCGTTTGGTGGTGCGCCTGGAAGGAGCGGAATAGAAGATCTTTTGAAGGGGAGGATCTTCCATTGGGGTTTTGAAATTTAGAATTATTAGTTTTCTTTTTAGTTGGGCGAAGGGGACATATTGTAATTTGATAAGAGGAGATAGTTAACTTTTTGGGATCCTTGGGCCCATAGGACCTTTTCTGTTGAGCTCCGGCCTTTGTGTTGTCTACGGGATGTGTTCCTCTTTTGATCGCTCTCTAATACATCTTTACTTATAAAAAAGTAAAGTGGCTTCAAATAATTTTCTAAACTTGTTTCTAAAAATTGGAATTTATCAAAATTAAATTTAATTGAAAAACGGGATGCATCAATGGAATGGTCAATTGGTCAATGGATCTTCAGTAAGTCTTGATTGATTGGTGGACCGATTAAAGATTCCAAGGTCGCCAGAAGGATAAATTAGTATGCTGACAAGGACCAGAGGCCGTTGAAATTCCAGGTTTAAGACAAAGTATTGCTGAAACTGACTCCACAAATCTGAAAAAAAAAGAACAGTAGCAAAACAGTGCACCATGGGTTGGCTATAAATATGAGATTATAGTCAGTTGAGGGTATTTCTAATAATCCCTAAAAGCATTTTCCTATTTTAGAGAGAGAAAAAATCATTATTCTCAATCTAAGGTTTCGTTAGCTTCATCTATATGTGATTGAGAGTGCTGCGGCAAAAAATAGATCAAATACTGCAACAAGAGTATATCAACTGCTCTACAACAGGGCATGAGGATTAAACAGACTATGGAGAAGCAGACTCAGCAGTTGAAGGATCTGGGGTGGTTTAGCATTGAGTCTGAATTGGGAGCAACTAAGTGATTCTTGCATTAGAGTTTAGTAACTTAGTCAGTAACATCTTTCTCTTATAGTGAATTGTTCATGGTTGGATTAAATCCAATGATTTTTCTTCTTTTAGGTTTTTTCATGTAAATTTTTTTGACGGCTTTTCTATATATAATTTTTCTTTTATATGTTTATGTGAATGCAATTGAGCCTTGAATGAAACTAATTAAAAATTTCAAATTAAGGTTAATGATTAATTTAAAAGCTGGTTAGTTTCAAATTAATATCCATAAGATCTCTTCCACCCGCCCCCAATGCATGAAGTCAGAGCCTTGAGTAATGATCCCAAATTTCTCAAGTAGGACAATATATCTTAACTTTTGAGAACATCATCTAAAGGGCAAGGAACAGATGTTGACTACATGTTTAGATAAACATATTAATTGCTAACAAATGTTATTTTAATTTAATTTCCGAAAAAAAGTTGTTATAGTTCAATAAAATTCCAATATTTCCTATTCTTTCCGTGTTGGTCTTTACAACATATTGCCTTCTCTAATTTTTTATTCACACAATTTACAGTTACGTAAAAGGAAAGAACCAAAAAACTAAGTAGCAATATATCTTATATGATACCCGGAATACTGATTTGAAGCCAATGCCTTTCTTCCCAATATATCCAGCACCAGATCCCTTCTTTGTTGAATTTCCAACATCACAAAGTGCTCTGATGTTCTGAGCAGAGAACCCATGTTCATTATTTAGAACAATAATGCCAGCCTCTTGAAGAATGAAAGTCAGAGTTGGTTCCACATTTCCAGGGTACACATTGTCATCAGCATTCTGAACCTGAAGCAACATAACAGAAAGTAAGATGCAATCAAACATCATGATTTTCCTGGGAAAAAGAGAATCTATTTTGCTACTAAAGTAATAAAATATAATAATAAAATGGCAATCATATTTAACAATAAATAGATTGCATTACTTTATTTTATGTATCAGTAGATTTCATTTAAGTCCACACCCTAGGATATCTACTAACATGAGGATTTGCTCAACCTCCCCAACTTGAACCATCTCATTTTTCCCCATCTCACTTAGCCTTAAAGGTTTTACCGCTAACACCTAAAACACCTTAACAATGGCTATCTAAGAAACTCATAACGCTTTCCTTGAATCACCAACAATCAACTCTAAAATCCAACCAATCTAAACTCCATGTTATCCTTAAACCCTACAAGCCCTTCTTACACACAATAAAATCCAAATCAACATAGTTGCCTTAGCTTAAGCCCACCATAAAATGAATCATAGATGGCTTTCTTATTGGTTTTGCAAATGTTGCCCCCTTACATAAGCCCACCATCAAACTCTCACACAGACTCGTGTGAAAACCTTGTATGTACGGAGCAGATTAGCAGAAAGATGGATGTGCAAAGAAACAAACAAAAAAAGGGAAAAGGAAACAAAACCAAAACCAAAAAGACTTTACCCCACATCCCTCAAAAATAAAAGCTGAAATTTTGAGAGAAAATAATTAAATCACAAAAGTATGCATATGTCTATATATTGTGTTAAAAATTTGACAACAAAAGAAAACCATATACAGCATGGGAGGCTCAAAAATCCACATCAACAATCATATACATAACTCAGCCTTGTCCCAACACATTAAGCAAAAAATATAAACAATATAAGAGGCATCAAAATGCACATTAACAGCTATAGACTCAACTCGACAAAGCCTTGTCTAAAGATATTAACTACTATTTTCAGTACAGAAATCCTACACACATTATAAAAGAAAGAAAAACAGTACACTTACAAGTTCCAGAAGAAAATGTGAATCCTGAGAATACAACTCTTGTGAAAGGCAATGGAGTGCTCTCCCTAAACGAGCATGCTGCTTCTTCAGCATACTCCTTTCCAAATCTGAAAGACTTGGATCCAAACCAAATTCTTGACGCCTAATAGATTCAATAACAAGGGCAGCATCCTTATCTTTTTCAAGTTCAGATATATGTTGTACACAATCATCCCCAAAATCATCACCAGAAACCGCTACCTTGTTAACCATGTGACAAACTCTAGAACTGTTTTCATTATGCGGTTCTGTCGTAACAACCAATCCTCTTTCAGCTTCAGAGGAACGCCTCTTAACTAGTGCATCTTGGATATGTATTGAGCCTGTGCTGGAACTAACAGGTTTTACTTGTGATGCTCCACCGGACAAATCAGTAACCATAGATGAACAAAATACACGGTAATCCTCAATCCATTCCACTATACCAAGAGATAATCCCACTTCATGAAGCATAAGACGATGCTCACTTTGCCTGCATTCACTCAAAATGGCTGCAGGAGCATCTCTGATAACAGATTGCATCCCCGAAAGCAATACATCTGCAGCAAAACCACATAATTCGATAGGTAGATAACCGAGACAATCAAGGAGAAACCTTGATGCAGCAGGAACCGCTCTATTAACTTTGTTTTTGCTTTTGTATGATTCACTGCTGAAAGTATAGGATGTGTCTTCATCAAGCAATCGCTGCCCATGCATTTCGTTTCCGCGCATGAGAAAATTCTGACAGTCAGTTACTTCCATTTCCATAGAATTTTTCATAAGGACTTCAAGAGCTTGCCGTGCATGGCATTTTAGAAGGGACACCGGAACGTGTCTTTTACCCCCATACAATGAAAACAAAGATAACAGTTCTACTGCAGTTTGGAAAGATGATCCCTGAAGAAAAGCTTCTAAAAATGAATCGACAGTTGCTGAATGATCAATCCGCAATACTTTGCCATCCTTTGTCACTAAACACAGTAGCTCTTTTGTATTGACCTCACTCAGCAACCATTCCAGAAGAGGACCAAGTGAAGGAGCAAATATAAGGTCCCAATGCGACCAAGAATGTAAATCTGACAACATTGGTGCTCTAAGCAAGACTTCAATTGCATCCTTGCTTGTAACAGAACCAAGGTTTCCTGCCTTAAGGCCTACTCCATTTATCGCCCCAGTATTTTTTAGCAAATCTTCCTCCTTATGAGGCAATGAGTCTCCAATGCAACACTTTTCTAACAAAGTTGCAGAGAATAAGACACAATTAGAAATTGCACTGCTTTTGTTCTCTCTTACACCATCCAGAAAATCTTTCATGGATCCATTTTCCACTAATTTGAAACTGATTAATGGGAATTGCCTCGTAAGCAGCACAGAAATCTCCTGTCTGGTTATGTTTTCATTTTCCCATAAGCTATTTGAAGCTTGTGACAGTAGTACAGATAACTGATGATGGAGCATGTAAACCTCCAATGGGGACTTTTCACATCTGCCACCAGTCAAGCACTTCTGCAATGCTTTAGGTAGTAGAGACTCGTGATTCTCTAAGAACATAAGAAACTCCCCATAACCAAGGGACTCAAATTCCTTGACAGAAAATTGCTCAGTCAGCCAAAGCTCACATTTGCGAAGCTTCCTCAATAAGGAAAATTGTTTCTCTAAATATGATCCAACATTGTTCACAATGTCATCATCAAGCTCAAAATATATAGCAACTTTGTGGACAATATCTTCAAGAGTGACATCTGCGGAATGTAGATTATACATCAGAAAGAACTATTTAAGTTCCACAATGAGTAAAAAAAAAGAGGGCTAAGAGAAGCCTCTAAACAGTAGCAGATAGTCTAATAAGAAATGCTACTCTCTAAGAAGTCAAAAAAAATAATAAGCACTTCAGAAGTTGATGATCATCCCATTGGAAACCCCAGGAAAAAAAAAAATTCCTTTGAAAAGTCATTTTATTATATTCATCAATTCATTTATTAATAACTTGGTAATAGTAAGAAAAAGGGATAACTATCCTCTCCAGAGCACACGCGCTTGCGCAAGAGAGAGAGGAGGAGGAAGAAGGGGAGTCGCCACAATATCCTACATTTCTAATGTAGAACAAGTGGTGGTAGACTACCTGGAGCACATGATCAAATTGTGGTCTTTTAAGTCTAAAATTTTAAGAGAAGTCTAATTCTGTGATTTTAAGTCAATTTCTCGAATTTTAGAATACAATAGACCATATTTGTATGTGATAGTACCAAGCAAACAAGAACATAAAGACCTTAAGAAACTCCCAGTACAAAAAGAGTAGTTTATTTTATCAAGTCATTGAGTTACTTATCAAAAAAAGAGTCATTGAGTCACATATTTTAATGGGATTTCGAGTGTTATATATAGAGTACTGTAATGCATAAAATCGGGGATTAATCTTCTTCAGGAAACTTTGTTCTTCTGTTCATCATGGCTTCAAAGCCCTAGCAGATTCTAGGATTGGATGGACCCTTCAGGTTCTACCTTTATTCTTTGCACTCCTGTGTCCATTACATTAAATGTCATGGCAAACAGATGCTACTAATTGCCCTCTAGAGGAATCTCAGGAGCTAGTTTCTCAAATCCTAAGAGAGTATTTCAAACTCAAATTAAAATTAAATTGTAAATCTGTCCAGTCAGTCAGTCTTTCACAGTTCACTGAGATTTGTGGATTTTCATTAGCCTAGATGGCTACTAAGGTTGTTTTCTGTTTCTGAAGGTTTTAAAGCTAGTGATTGCATAAAATTCATGAGCACCAAAAGTTCTGCATTCTGGTGTCCCTTTTTGCCATTCCAAAATTCCTGACATTTCAAATCCATATTTGGAGTAAGTAAACACGACTTACTGCACTTATGCTCCGAAACATGCTCAGCGATGACCGGTGCATCCTTCTCAGTTGGTTCAACCTCAATGTTTACATACTCAGAACATTTCTCTGGAAGTGTATTTGCTACTCCATACTGACCAAAATCTTGTAAGGTATCATACATGCTATCCCACATTCCACATTTTATAGACGTCACCTACAAAAGAAGCAAGCAACTCAATTATAATGCAAACAGTCGCATCACAATGAACCAAATTGCATATGCAGACCTCATACCAGACATTAGACGAGTGGAAATAAATGTAACAAATGTTAAAGCTACAAAAGAAACAAACAGATATCGAGTTATAAGTTTTACTCCAAGAATATAGAGAACACAGTCATCGTCAGCTGTCTACACTATGCCATTAACCAGGGAAAAATAAATCTCAATTGCAGTGATAAAATATCCTTTATAAACATTAAATATCAAAAGAAAAAATAAATAAACAGAAGATAGTATTCCCTTTAAAAACATATAAATTATCCCTTGAATATATTGAGCTATTTCGAACATATATAAGCAAGAGCAACCCAACTCAAATTACACCTCCAAAAACCATTTACCCATAAAGCAACAAGAAACAAATAATCAACTGATTACCCACACCCCAAGCAAATTATGCCAATAAAAAAAAAAATGGACTTAGGCCTCCTAAAGCATGTCATGATTGTTAAAAACACCAAATACATTTCCACGCCAAAGTTAAACAAGTCATGATTGTTAGGTCACATCAATTAAATTTCCACACCAAAATTAAACTTGAGATGGCAATCAAGCTTTCTAAATACATTTGAATGGGCCACGAGACCTCCCATGAATCTCATTAGTCATTATCACACCCCATCCTCTAGACTTGTTTGGAGACCTCAAGAAACCTCAATTCTACAGAAAATCCTTGAGGAGATTATCGTGGGAAGTGACACCTCGACTAGGTGCCTAGGTTGTAGGCAGAGCTTAGGGGGCTCAAAAAACCTCTTGATGTCACTTCATTGGATCCAAGGGGCGTTTGGCTAGGAGGCTGGAGTTCAGGAATCGTTGAGGAATGCTTATATTGCGGGACTGTTCCTCGAATGGGTCCAAAGAACATACGGAGGTTTAGGAGTGTTCATTTCATCAGTGAATCCGATCCATGCAGTCCGAATTGGTTTTTAGTCCATCGATTTGGTTGCAGTTTCAAATAAGTTAAATAACCAATCTGATCCAATTCGAACCGTTACCTATATTATATATATATATATATATATATAATACTCATTTACCTCAATTGTTCTATACATAATCATGAAGAATCACTTTGGTTTTTAGAAATGCAATATTAATATTTATTTCATTGATAAGATATGTTGTTCTTCAAATTCTTTAATATTCTATAACTCAATCTTCTTTTATTTGTTTTACAAGTTAGAGATGATTATATATTATCGTTATAGCAGTCTTACCAAGCTCCTAAATTTCAATTAATCTGAAGAGGCAGACTATCAAAACTAAAAGATGGACAATGATAAAGAGACTTTATCATGTAATTATAATGGATTATTTCATCTCAATCTCACATTGGACCAAAAAAATAAATTAAAAAACTATTGAGCTGTTTATAGAATCCCAAACTGTAAAACCAATCTAATCCAATCAGATATTCCACGGATTGGATCGAATCAGTTTAAGGCTCTGAGCCTCCCATTGAATAAGATTGATTTTAAATTTAATGAATCTTTTGGGATCAAATTTGTTTTAGTTTTATGTCTAATCCAATCCATGTGCACCCCTATGGAGGTTCACATTTCCTAGAGATAGCCCCATGTCCTAAACAAATAGTACCCTTTCCTTTTTTCTTTTCTTTTTTTGATGTCACAGTACCCTTTCTTTTATTGTTATTATTTCCTTGTCTTTTCATCTTGTTGCACTACCATAATTATATTATTATAGATTAATACTACCACTTTACCGGACATTGAGCATTGGTCTCACAATCTCCAACGCTCAATACCCCCATGGTTATTGAATCATCCACCATTATATAAAAGGCACCAAGCCTCTTGTGAGATCCCCTCACAGGACGCGGGAACCCCTTGTGGAGCTCTCTCCACCCTCTTGTCTATTAGGAGAAGCTTAGGAAACTGTCCTACCTTTTCTTATGCTCTTTGGATTTGCTTGGACTTCCACCTAAGCCAGCCACCCCCCTATTGTCGTACATCTGTCATATTGCAAATGATGTGTCCATCCTACTCATCCAACCCACCTCTACACACGTAAAGAAGGAAAATCCTATTTCAGGCAACAATGATCAAGGAGAAGCCAGCAACACCTTTGAGGTAGATACGCGAACGAAAATGTGTCCTGGATGTTGAATATATTTCTTGCAGAGATAAGCAGTGGGGTGAGGAAATGTTTAGCTAAGAAGCATGGATACAAACACATTGACACAGCAAATCTAGTAAAAGTAAGATAAGGACACAACAACAGCACATACAAACGTTGATACCAAAATTAAAGGTGGGCTTCGATTTTAGTAGCAATGAATGGATAGGACCATTTTGGCATCCGTAAAGGTAAAGGAAGACCCTTAAAGGTATGTCATACCGATAAGAGTAAAATCATAGTAATATATGGTGTTGGTATTCTACTGTTGTAATATATCCATGAAATCATAGTGGAATCTCTTCTCGTGTGTGGATGTAGGTCAGTTTTGGCTAAACCATGTTAAATCTTGTGTTTGTGTGTGATCGTTTTGTTAGCTTTCATTATATCACGATGTTTGCGGCTTGCGCACTTCCGCTGCCCCAAAAAAAAAAGGTGAGGATTTTAATGGGCAAGGGTGAAGAGGGGCTAATGGTTTAAATTTTGAATTTGGAAAGGATAATATATAAATAATGCACAAGTAAGGTTTAAAGGGCCACATGACATGTTAGACAAATTTGGGCCCTGGTGTAAGGGAAAAAAAAAAAGCTTTTAAGATGTGCTAAAAAGTGGAGACGGGCTATGGAACAAGGGCTGGAGTTTGGACCTTACAGATGAACAAAGTTGGGACTACTTTTTGAGGGTGGTAATATTAATGAGGCTTGAGCTCAACACCTTAGTCAATTTAGGCATATCAAGAAAACTAAGCTCAACAGCTGGATCAACCCATCTGTATTGACAGCATGCACGTTAGCCTGAGAAGAGGAAAATCTGCTTATTTTACAAGTAAAAATAGTAGTAGGATTACAAAAAATAGTTGACCAAGCATGCATGATCACATGAGAAGGAAAGCGGGAAAAATTAAATTTAACTATGAAGCATTAACCAGTTTTTTTTCCCCCAAATAGAGTAAACCACATTTGGGGGTCAATAGTTAAATTAGTCATGAATTTGAATCAGCCAAATGATGTTCCGGTTTAAAAAGCAGCATTCTGCTTGTTCAACATTTTAAGAAATACCAATCAACATGTGCCATTATTAGGAAGCAAGAACTTGACAACAATCAACTTACAGCAAGATTTAGTAATCCAACATATGGATATGAAGAGAACATCAATCTCAGTTTCTTCCTTCTTTGGGGTGATGTTTTATAGAATTGAAGCATCCTCTCAAGAACCTAAAAGTTACAAGAAAAAATCCAATGAGAAACGGCAGCACATGCTTATAAGGACGGCAACCACACATGCAAAACAAGAAAAGAGAAAAATAAAAAATAATAATAATAATAATAAAGGATCACATTGTTCGCTCAGACGCACACGCACATACAACAAGAATCACTTGAACATAACAATGTAATACCCTGCTCCGGAATCTTACTATGCAAATTATCAAAAACTTGACCAGCAAACCAACCACAGGAACATAGTATCCACCACATAGTGATGCATAGTACTTTTTTTTTTTTGATAAGTAGAAATATATTAGAAAAACGTTCAAAAGGGGAACGTGTCCCTAATACAAGAAAAAAGGTCTAAGGACCAATAGAATCCAAGAGATCAAAGAAATCATCAATCGAGGAGCATGTACTTCCTCTTACATAACAGAACAAAGAACGAAGAATATGAATTTTTAAATTAGCTAAAGACGATTCTTTTCCTTCAAAGGATCTGTTATTCCTCTCACGCCACAAATACCATCAGACACAATGTGGAATGATCTTCCAATAATCACGAGCTTGTTCTTTGACAGGACACCTTTTCCAAGCGTTAATCAATTGAGAGGAGTGTTTAGGCATTACCCAAAAAACGCCAAAAATGCTAAAAATAAAACTCCAACAATCATACACCACAGGACAATGCAAAAGAATGTGATCCACGGATTCACTATCATCTTTACATAAACAACACCAATTAACAATGATGTTGCCTCTCTTTCTCAAATTGTCCAATGTCAAAATCTTCCCCAATGTGGCAGTCCAAACGAAGAATGCGATTCGAAGAGGAGCTTTAGAGCGCCAAACAGACTTCCAAGGGAACTCAAGACCAACGAAATTGGAAAAACGGAAGAACATAGAGCGGACATCATACCGACCATGAGCTGAAGGAACCCACAAAATATCATCACCCCCTCTGCTAATATCCTTCTATCTATACAACGTATCCAAAAAAACACAAGCTTCCTCCATTTCCCAATCCTGAAAGAGCCGCCTAAACTGCACATCCCACGTAACTCCATTGTTATCAAGTTGATAACAATCAATCACGTAAACACGCTTATTGGCTGCAATACTATAAAGTCTAGGAAATGAGTGAGACAGCAACTGATCGCCGCACCAAAGGTCCTCCCAAAAACGAACATGTCTGCCATCACGAACTTGGAATCTAAGATGTGTGGAGAAAACATCCCAACCGTTCCGAATGAATTTCCACACACCAACACCTCCCGTAATAGTGACTGGAAGAGATGACCAGCCCCCACTCTCCTCACCAAAACGACACGAGATAACTCTTCTCCACTGACGATGACGTTCCCTTCCAAATCTTCATAACCACTTTCCCAAGAGAGCACGATTAAAAGGAACGATTTTTCGAATGCCTAACCCGCCTAACCTCAACAGTTGGCAAACTTGATCCCAATTAACGAAATGATACTTAAACTCTTCTCCCCTTCCACCCCAGAGAAAATCCCTCTGAATTTTTTCAATCCTTTCAGCAACAGAGCATTGAATTTGAAACAAAGATAAAAAATAGGTAGGAAGGGATGAGAGAGTACTCTTAATGAGTGTGACTTTTTCCCCCCTTAGATAGATACTGCTTTTTCCATCCTGTTAATCTTTTCTAATATCTATTAATCACTGGATCCCAATTCCCAACCCGTGTAGAGGAAACTCCCAAAGGCAATCCTAAGTAAGGAAGAGGAAAAGAACCAACTCCACACCCTAGGACAGCAGCTAAGGAGGAAATATCTGGAACATCCCCCACTGGGACAAGCACACTTTTTCCGACATTAATCTTTAACCCAAAAACCACTTGGAAGCAAGCGAGAGTGCACCTCAGATATTTGAGTTGAGAAACTTCAGCATCACAAAATACCAAAGTATCATCAGCAAATAATAAATGGGAAATCTGCATCTGATGTTCAACGTCTCTGCCAACTGTGAACCCCCTGATGTAACCCAAATCTTCCGCTTTTCTCATTAACCTGCTCAAACCTTCCATGACAATAAGGAAAAGAAAAAACGATAATGGATCTCCTTGTCGCAGACCACGCAAGCTAGCAAAAAAAACCCGCAGGTGAACCATTCACGAGCACAAAAAACATAACTGACGAGATACAAGTTTCAATCCATTTTATCCACCTATCACCAAACCCCATCCTCCGGAGCATATACAGAACAAACTTCCAATTAACATGATCATAAGCTTTCTCAATATCAAGCTTACACAAAACGCCAGGAACCCCACTTCTTAATCTAGAGTCAACACATTCCCCGACAATAAGAACAGAATCCAAAATCTGCCTCCCACCAACAAAAGCACTCTGTGATTCTGAAATGAGACCATCCAAAACATTACTCATCCTGGAGACAAGAACCTTGGCAATAAGCTTATACAAACGTCCAATTAAACTAATTGGCCGAAAGTCCTTAATATCAGAGGCACCGCCCTTCTTGGGAATGAGAGCAATAAAAGATTCGTTCAGAGATTTCTTAAATGTGCCATGAGAATAAAAATCCTGAAAGGTGCCCATCACTTCAGCTTGCACCACCTCCCAACTCTCCTTAAGAAAACACATAGTGAACCCATCTGGCCCTGGATTTTGTCCCCGTTACAACTAGAAAGTGCCTTAAGCACTTCCTCCTCCGTGAATGGAATCTTAATTCTATCACTATCCAACGTAGAAATAGAATTAAATGGAAGACCATCAAGAGTAGGTCTCCAATCCAAAGTCTCAGTGTAGAGCTGCTGATAAAAAGAGGCGATTCCCCCGCGCACCTCGTCCTCCCTCCACAATTCAGAACCATGGACCTGGATACGTCCGATGTGATTACATCTTCTGTGAGCATTAGCAAGTCTATGAAAGAATTTTGTATTACGATCCCCATCTTTTAACCACAAAGCCCGAGACTTCTGGCGCCACGAAATCTCCTCCATAAGAGCAATCTCAGCAAAAACCGCTTGGCAAGAAGCTCTTTTAGAGCATAAAGATTCCCCACTCTGTCCCGCCTCATCAAGACGATCAAGCTCAGCAATATCAGCAAGAACTCTATTCTTCTTCCAAACAAGATTCCTAAACACTTCTTTATTCCACCTCTTTAACTTAGTTTTAAGAAACTGAAACTTTCTAGCTAACACATAACTAGCAGAGCTTGTGAAATTTGCTTTCTCCCACCAAGACTGAACCTTCCCTTGAAAGTTCTCGGATCTAAGCCACATGTTTTCAAAACGGAAAGGAGTGCGTCTAGAACTCAAGCCACCACAATCTAAAACAAGAGGCACATGATCAGATGTGACTCTAACCAACACAGCCTGAGAGACATCCGGGAAATGCTCTTCCCATGTCCCAGAAATCATAAATCTATCCAACCGGGAAAAAGTAACCGGTTCCCTACCATTAGACCAAGTAAAGGCCTCTCCTTCCAATGGTAGGTCAATAAGGAAATTATTGTCAATGAATTCTGAAAACATGGTCATTTCTGAAGACCACCTACCCCTGTGGACCTCTCAAATGGGGACCTAACAAAATTAAAATCCCCACCTAAGCACCAAGGCAATGACCATAAATCCTTAACATAGCAAAGCTCTTCCCACAGGATTGGCTTATCTCTATCAGTAACAGGCCATAAACACCTGAAAACACCTACCTGAAATTGTCTTCCTCCATCTGAAACATACAAGACACAGAGAAAATACCCTTCCAACAATTCAAACTTGACAACCATCTTCGATCCCACATGAGAAGAATACCACCTGAAGTGCCTATTGCATTTAACACTTTCCAGTCCACAAACCTACCTCCCCAAAGACTCCTGACAATCTCAACAGTAATATCAGCCATCTTAGCTTCCTGTAAACAAACGACATGAGCACTCCACTTCCTCAAAGCTACCTTGACAACTCTTCTTCTTTTCGGATCATTAAGACCACGAACATTCCATGTTATAAGTCGTAGCTTCATTAAGAACCAAAAACAATCAATTCTCCTCCTCCTCACCACTTCTAGTTCTTCCCCTTTCTTTGGTCGTCCCATTCTTCCTGTCATAATTAACACAAGAAATCAGATTCTTCACTTCCTGTTCGCCTTTCCGCTGTGAATTTCTGACTTTGACTTCTTTTGTGTTACGATTTGGATCAGTACTACCATTTCCTGCAACAATTTCGTGAAGAATAGACACCCAAAGCTTCACTTACTACTCGAATATTCTCAATAACCCATTCCATACCCAGATCACTGGTTGTCTCCAAACAATCTGGCCGCACGACTGCCAGAGGTTCCATTAAATCCACTTCAGCTTGATCAAAGTCCGTCCCGGAAAAGGAATCATTAGAACAATGCTGCTGAGAAGGAACATCAACCACTCCTAACTGCAAATTCCCCTCTGTTTCCGAAGCATCAACTTCTTTGGGTGGGGTTCGCAAAGTCACCTCATGCTCAGATGATATACCGCTCAAACCTTCAACCGCAGCAAAGAGCCGAAGCTCTTTAAGCAAAGCTACAGCTGAATCATTATTCAATTTGAAATGCAAATCTTTCCCAACGCAAACGGTACCTCCATTGAAAAAACCCAACTCTGAGACCTTTGAGACATCCAACTCTGACCCATCACACCATGAACTTGAAGTCCCAATAAGACTTCTCTGTTGATTCAATACATCCTCCACAACATTCCAGTTACTTGCCACTCCACCCGAAGAAGAAGAAGTAGAAGTAGAGAAAGCGTTTAGAGAAAGATCAGAACTCAAACCTGTAGAAGAAGTGTGAGATCGTGCAACCCATTTTTGTTTTTCAGTCCGAGTCCACCGAGATCCATGGCGACCGACGTTCATCATCCTCCTCTCGGGTTTTAACAAATGATTTGAAGGCTTAACATGGGCTTGTGTTTCTTTAGGGCCAGTTTTAGTATTTAGGAAAGAAATAAATAAGGAATTAGGCCCTTTTCGTACCCTTCTATTA